ATTCATGTGATTGTAAAACAGATAAGGTTGGGAATTGTAAATAATATTACATTAATAATATAGTGGATATGTGCGGATATAGCAGATGGGATGAAAAATCCGGATTACCTTTGCCATGTCGCACCAATCTCAGTGAACCTATGATACACCAGTTCAATTTAGAAACTGTGATAAAAATATCTGTTTAAAACTGTGAATGACTAAGGATTTTCTAGCAGGGATTATATGAATTTCCCATGCTTTGATATTGTAGATCAAGAAATAATTAACACTATTAGAAACCCGTCAAAATCGATGGTTAGGGGCCTCTTCGTTTATGGGCGTGCGGCTTCATTGGCAACAAATAAATCAAATGACATAGCAAAGTGGCATTTCCAAAAAGAAAAGAATACTGTAAATTGGCTGTCACGTAAATATTGACGTTTAAATGCATTGTTAATCAACGTATCTTATATAAAGGATGATTTGATCTAGCTTAAAAGGAATATGACCTTTCTGTCATGACAGTAGCTGCTTAAATACCAGTATTTACTCTTCGTGCAATTTTTACAGCCAAAATGTCATGTTATTTTCAATAATGTTACCAACCTAGTGGGCCACGGTCCGTAATATAGGCCACTGCAAATAATTTGTCAAAGATAGGTACCGGTACCATTCTATCCAAGGTTTCTGTGTTTGGATGTTATTAGAGCTCAATGAACTTCTTCTACAGATAATTAATCTGTTGGGGAAATATAAGCCGAATTAAAAATGCGAGTTTGGGCATTTAGTAACTGTATAAGTAAGTTACATAGTATGTTTAAGCTGCTGCTCAGTCCACTTAAGAATATATTTTTAGAGATAAATTAAAATGGTTTTTGTTTCTGAGTAGCGATAGTTAACATGCAGAAACCCTCTTCGTTAGTCTAATAACATTCAAAGGCTCTCTAAAAGTTGAAGTTCTTGTTTGTATACATACCCTTATTATGTTTTTACTAAGCGGAATGAATACATCGAAGTAACCTCTCTGAAAAGTCTGCAGTAAATTGCAGTTTTCCAGTTTAATGACTTTTTTAATCATGCACATTATTATTTCTACATAAATATTGTAAAATGTTTGATCCAGTTGCTGTAAACTAATATTAATTTAACAAAATAGGGATTGTATTACACTATCAAAGACTTTTCCAATGATTGAAAACATCTATGACAATAATCTCATGAACCTATGATGATCTGTCTAGAACATCGATCTCTATAATAATAGAGATCGATGGTCTAGAATAATATGATAAAATATAGGCAAAAGTGGTAATAAAGGAGGACACCAATATATATACACGTACAATATATATAAGATAGTTCAAAAAGAAATAATTGTAAGAGTTACTATAAAATGATTGTCAACTGATTTCGTAATGGAACGTTATGTTGCAAAACATGGCATGATACAGAAGAAAATCAATTTTTCCTACAGTCACCCGACAAAGTTGGCTTCCTTGTACTGTTTATAGTACAGAAAGTTGCTAATTGCTGCATATTTATACTTTGCCGTACGGTTTATACTTTGTCGTACGGTTTATACTTTGCCGCACATCAGGATTCCAACGAAACAACACAAAACAACGTGGTTCTATTATGCACGTAATCCGTGTACGCTTGGAAATAGGTTGGCAACACTTAAAGATAATAATATTATGATCAGCTGATTGTCTAGTATAACTTCGATTTAACCTGTCATTTCGTATTCATAGTTTCGGTATTTCTGAACTTTCTGGACTTTTCTTTTAAACGTTTTTAAAACATTCCTGAGATCTTAACAAACAAGAAAATACCTTTAAAGCATTTTTTTAGGCGTGGAAACCACTTCAAATTACAAAAAAACATACGGAACTATATTCTCAAAACGCGGAGCACATTTCTTGCCGAGGAAAAATAGCGGAGTGATACGGACCACGGTTACTACTTTCTCTAGGGCACCATTGCCCATTTGTGTTGCCAGCTGAACCTAAAAACGTGTTGTATAGTGTTTGAAAGACTAATTATTTATATGCTTTATAGTGACTGTAGGAAAAATACGAGTCTTGTAATACGAGTGAAAAAGGCCTTTGCTGCACTCGAGATCATTTCGCATAAACATTGCTCTCGTGTGCAGCAAAGCGCCACTTTCACCACTAGTTACACAAATAACTATTAAAATCAGTGAACATTGCAAATAATTCTTTTGGACAATTCAATAACTCCCAATAAACTTGTGTCGTTTAAAATACAATCTAAGAATTAACAGCGGTTTAATTCAAAAGTATTATTCACATGATCAAAATGTAAACAAATCTGTGGAGGGACCTTTAAGGGCTTCTGGGGCAGAGCCCTAACGGGATTCATTTCGTTTTTGTTTTGATAACTCATCTAGAGACCAAGACCTTTCTTTGGACACCTCTCCTAAGTTTCTTCGCTCAACCGTTCTCTCAAATTAGAGGAGACAAAGTTTCCAATTAAATATTTTGATTCCCCCATGTTATTATTTATGTGGTTTATGGGAGAAAACCCAACTTTGATGGATGATCCTGACCAAACTAATAAAGATTTCAAAAAATGAAAAACACTTTGCAAAACTACAGATCAGAGCCATTATTTTGACTTTTTAACCATTAAAATCGGTCCAAAAATGAGGGAGGAGTTCTGTTTTTAAAAATCTGCTTAGAGTATTATATATATAGATTAGGAAACAATTTTTTTTTTCAGTTGTAATATTTTATTGTGATTGAACCCAATATTTGAAATTTATAAGTAAACGTGTAAAATGCCGACACGCCAGGGTGCGAATTTTGGGAACATCAAAATAATTTTCAGATTGAAAAGATTAAAACATACCGGGTTCTTAGATTAATTTCAAAATGTTCCAGACCACATCAACAATCTGAGGGCTATTACAGTCTTGAGATGTCCAATAAGAGCCAACACATATAATTGAGTAGCTGAGGATTTGTAATCCCGCCAACCTTGCTGAATACTATAGATTAGATTCATTGTCACAGATGTCCACCATCTGTTAAAGCTAATCGACCAGTTCCTTCCCATTTGTCTTTTAATTTCCACCCGAGTAGAATAATTTAACCCACAGTGCAAATAAAATTGTGCTAGCTTCACGTTTTTTTCCTTTTAACCTCATCATATTACATTAAAATGTCTTGTAAACTCTTGAATTCTGATGAATAAAATTATCGTAATATTAGTTTTATGGTACCTTCGAGAGAAATTGAGCTGATTACTTCGAGTAATAGAGACTTCGTCTTATTTTACGGCCACATTTCCTTTAATTATTTAATTTTGCTAATACAAATATAGCCTAACACTTAAAAGTAATGTTGCCTCCTTTTTATTTTATTTCAGTCTATTCATAATTCAATTTCATTTTTGTGTCCTATATGAGTTGTACTTTTAGTTTACAAAGTATTGAATACCAGTGTTTCATCGTCATAAGCGGGATACTCATTGCATTCCTGTTATATCTTTGCCCTTAAATTGATAAATAAAGTGGAATGGTGTATTTAATGATCTACGGAAACATACACTAAGTTCCGGTAAAATTGACTAAATTAAGATATAGCTCCATTACTTAATTATAGCAAAATACACACGGAATTATCACAGTCAAAACAGCGATATTCACAAACACAAAACAGATTATTACTGGTTACAAATCTTACTAGATAATGTAACCCTAGAAAAACTTGATTGAAATTAAGTTTATGAAAATTTCCATTTCGTTCACATGAATTCTTAAAACTGAATCTAAGTTGAGTGTGTTCATTGGAACACCGATTCGTCGTTCATGCATGTTGCGTCAGGCACAGATCGCAAGCAATATACAGGGTGTTTCAGAATTCGAGTCGGATATTTTTGAGTATTATTCCAAGGTAAAAACCATATCCAAATATCATATTTTGATTGTACGGAAATTTCCTTAGTTACTCACACAGTCGCCATTTTGCACTTTTTACTTATAATTGTTTTCTAAAAGTGGTAAAAGATATGATATTGAAACATTGCATTAACATTTATGACAACTAGACAAAGCTACATCAAAATTATGACAACTTTTATCATAAAACAACTTTGGTTCTTAAATAACTCAAAAACCTTTTTAAGGCAATTGAATTAAAAATCTATTAACTCCTTATTTTCTTAGATTGGACGAATATTAACTAAAATATGGCAGATTTAGTAATACGTGACCACTGGAGGTTAGTTTTAGTGCATGTTAGTTTTATGTTGTGAAATATTTTAAACTTATCGAATGTGACGATCTTCATATGAAGAGAGATAAACTTTCACCGTACCACTGATGATGGCTCGATGTAGGAGCTGAAACTAGTTGCGACTGCAATTTAATGGATTGTTGAAAAGCTGGTATTTAAACCTTTTTAATACGAGAAGGCTATCGTCTACCATGAAAACAATACTTTTTCAAAACAGATTTTCTAAATGTAAAAAGTTTAATGCCAAGGGCATGTTAAATGGAATAAAATAGACGTGAACATTTTGCCGACAAACAGACAAATAATTTTATAATAATTTGAAGTCTACTTGCAGTAGTCCATGATAAAAGAAACAGATAAGGAGCAGCTACCTTAATGTATAACTCTTCAAAATTTATTTTAGTGGATTAAAGTTTTATTCTAAATTAAAAACTGAATAAAATAGTAGTTTTATAAGCAATAGTGTACTCAAATTTTGACATGCATTTTATCCCTGTTGGAAACGTTTATATCTTTTGGTTCATATAATTGTAGCGTATAAGATGTTAAATCAAAGGCATTTTTATTTATTTATTAAAATAATAAAGAAATACATTTAAAAAATGTAAACAATGTTAAAGTGTTAAGAGATGACTTATTAGGAAAAATATTTTCAATATAATAATATAAATTGTATTTATTTAGAACCAATAGATTAGATATGCATTGGAAGAAATGTTGATGTATGATGATAAATGACCGAATCCTGTATGTTGGCAGATGCATTTGTGAGATGTGGGGATGGGTCGCTGGTGCACCGCTACCAATGGTGCGACGACCACTCGGACTGTGAGGACAACCATGCTGACGAGATCAACTGTAAGTAGTAGAGGATGTCATAATATTAATATAATGGTAGTGGGAATGGGTTGCTGATGCACCGCTACCAATGGTGCGACGACCACTCGGACTGTGAGGACAACCATGCTGACGAGATCAACTGTAAGTAGTAGAGGATGTCATAATATTGATATAATGGTAGTGGGGATGGGTCGCTGCTGCACCGCTACCAATGGTGCGACGACCACTCGGACTGTGAGGACAACCATGCTGACGAGATCAACTGTAAGTAGTAGAGGATGTCATAATATTAATATAATGGTAGTGGGAATGGGTTGCTGATGCACCGCTACCAATGGTGCGACAACCACTCGGACTGTGAGGACAACCATGCTGACGAGATCAACTGTAAGTAGTAGAGGATGTCATAATATTGATATAATGGTAGTGGGATTGGGTCGCTGATGCACCGCTACCAATGGTGCGACGACCACTCGGACTGTGAGGACAACCATGCTGACGAGATCAACTGTAAGTAGTAGAGGATGTCATAATGTTGATATAATTGTAGTGGGGATGGGTCGCTGATGCACCGGTACCAATGGTGCGACGACCACTCTGACTGTGAGGACAACCATGCTGACGAGATCAACTGTAAGTAGTAGAGGATGTCATAATATTGATATAATGGTAGTGGGGATGGGTCGCTGGTGCACCGCTACCAATGGTGCGACGACCACTCGGACTGTGAGGACAACCATGCTGACGAGATCAACTGTAAGTAGTAGAGGATGTCATAATATTGATATAATGGTAGTGGGGATGGGTCGCTGGTGCACCGCTACCAATGGTGCGACGACCACTCGGACTGTGAGGACAACCATGCTGACGAGATCAACTGTAAGTAGTAGAGGATGTCATAATGTTGATATAATGGTAGTGACATAGTAATCTGGTAATAAGGTGATAAGCAGGGAAAATCATGTAAAGAGATAAACATGATTCGCTTATTCACTTTCAACTTGCTATAATAAGAATTTGAGTTGCACCTATTTTAACAAGAAAATTCTTTCTACATTTTTACTTCCCCCTCCCGTATTATGGTTTGGATCTAAAAAATAATAAAACTATTTTGTTAACATGTTTTATTTAAATTATAGACTTTGCAGAGTTTATATCCTACAGAAACAATTCACTGTCATATTGTTTTAATTACGGTTCTATATGATATACCACTACCACGTAGCCAATTAGGTAGTATACTTTAATTTAGGATGAATCTAATTTAAGCTGGTAGTAGAAGAGAGATGAATTAAAAGACTAAGTAGGCCAAAGAAATATATATTTTATGGTTCTCAGATTTCACAAAATACACTTTCCAAATAAAATCAAATACGCTCTTATTACTTCCAAATATTGTACTAAATATAAAATACTGGAAAGGTCTTACTTTAATCAGATCCACTGGGTTTAATGGTCAGAACTGGCACTAGCAGTTACCATGCAAATAGAAGTGGTACAAAGAAGCTACTGGACCAAGAAGTGGTAGTACCGTACCAAGAAGTGGTTGATATCTGTCTGAAAACATCACACAAAGCCGATAAAAACTATTCTCTACAAATTCTAATAATTAAAAATGGATTTAAGATCCTTACAACACTTTGTGACAATGTGCTTCTCAAGAACAAAACTCTACAGGTCTGTATGAACTTTACTTGTTTTCTTTTCTTGTAAAATGCATTAAAATTGATTTGAAAACTATTCTTTACTTTACATATTTTTCCAAAATTGATTTCTACAAATGCTATATAGGCTACAATAAATCTCTTAAATCTTATTATTAAACAATATTAAAATCTACTTACAATTTCTACAGCAACCACATTTAATAGACCATCTTTTCTAGTGAACTTAACAGACAAAACTTGAATTTGTTATCTAAGACAACTACCAACCTACAAAGCTAAATCTTTTAAACTGCTGGACACTATTTCTTAATCTTACTTTAGCCAATGATTAAATAATTTAATTTTGTTTTAGTCATTTCAATTTAACATGATTATTTATTTTACCTCGGTACAATGAGTTTTGGACATTTTATGTGTATCTCTGTATTAATCCCAAATTGAATCCATTCATCCTAAAGCCTTGCACTCGTATTCTTAAATAACCCTTCAAAAAAATGGATTGAAGATATTAATCTTCAATCCATTTTTTTATCGATATAAATTTTTATAATGCATGAAAACTATACTGAGGACAAAAATTTAGTTTTACTATAGGTCTGGAATAGTTATTTATCTAACCGTCCTATAAGACTGAGGATTTTATACTACACATCTGTATTATACTCCAGGCCGGGCCTGCGATGAGAGGACCGAGTTCAGATGTTCCAACGGCCGATGTGTCCGCAAGGCTAACATCTGTGATGCTCAATGTGACTGTGGCCCTGTCAATAACTCCAGCTACTTTTGTGAGGACGAACGCGACTGTCACCCGTTCTACACCATCACTGAAGGTAAGGTCATCATTTGTAAACTATTTGGTGCATTAATTCTTAAAACTAAATGTCCTGATTTTCAAAGTGGATGATCTCGTACATGGGGAAATGTCTTATCCCATGGAAAATCTATATTTATACATATACCTACAACATAAGATTAGCCCTAAAGTTGCTATGATCGGGCCATAACTTTTACTTAGGCTAAAACCATTGTTGATTTGGGATATTTTCATCTTTTAGCCTTGAAATTCCCAAAATGAGATTTGTGTCTAGTCACTAGAAAAGCAAATCTGGCAAAGGCCGGTTGTCCATTTATTCTTGAGATCAATCTAGTATGGATTCGATTACCACTTTTCATAAATAGGTAACAGATCAATGCTTTATCGTAATATACCAACCTAAGATAGCAACCGTTTCCTTACTAAAAACCATACTGTACTACAAAAAGCATTAATATAAAGGTTGTTAATAGATAAAAAAGGTTTAATAAAAACCACATTTGTGGATTTCTACCATCAATGGGTTATCATAGGTATACTAATCCAACTATTAGCTTTATAAAAACTAGTCGTTCGCTGCCCGTGCCTCGCCAAGGGAAGAGAACGCAGAGATTTAGTGATTCTTCCCAGCCTCCTCCAATACAAACTGTGGTTGATTATGCACTTATTCTTTATGTAAATCAATTTTATCAATGTCCAAAAAAGGTAAACAAACAAACTTTAAAAAAATCGAACAGCTGAGTATCTTCAAGGTTTTAAATGTAATTAATACAGTCCTTTATTTAATGTTCCTGCCCTTAGGTGGGGGATTATCGAAAAACTGATATTTTTTCGGGGAAGATTCACAGCAACACCTTTCATTCAAGTGTGCGATTGATAAGTTAGCGGCGTATGGTTTTCTTAAAATTTCAAATCCATCCTTGCTTTATATATAGAATGAAAACAATTTGAAAGTCGTGTTGAGATGTTATCTTTACATAGAAATCATTTTCGTTTTAAAACTATGTTTCAATATGATAATATGGGCAAAGAGTGTATTTTCAACCCTTACTCATTTTCATAAAACAACTGAACTAGAGCTCGGGTCAAAAAGAGTCACTTTATGTTCTAGTGATGAAATATACTGGTACTATATTTTTGTTATGGTAAACTGAAATGATCTGAAATTGGAACAAACAAAACACAACAATCATATCATAAGCTATGAAAACAATTTTAAACCGTGTTTAACTATTAAGTTTCATTTATTATGCTCGAAACGAAACAGTTCCATGACATGGAAGCTAAATCTGGCAATGTAAAGTGTAGTTTGTAATAAAGCAAGGTATCTTATGAGCACTAATTTCTGCAGTTATGTAGATTATTCAAGCTAACGTATCCCTAGAGCGTCAAAGACGTACGGCTTGCTTCCGTTGTTAATTGGAAATATTATAAGCTAAGTAGTTAGATTAGCTATTATCTAGAGTGTGCAAGCTAACAGCTCCTTATTTTAAAAGTAAATTTAGGTCCATCAAAGTTTTGACCGTCCAATAGGTATTTTAGGAAAGTATTTTGGTATCAAAACATTCTTAAAAGGAAAGTTTTCATCATGTTAGTTATGAAAAGTAGTTACTGCACTGAACTGTTGGCAAACCATTGTCCAGTACTTTTTAATAAGAGTTAGTTGGGGTTTTAATCAAATTAAATTTACTGATCACGCTCTATTTTAGACAGAAAAAGGAAACGATCGTATTTTTTTTTACATTATCAGGTAAGCTAAAATGCCTAAAACAATCTTATAGTAACACTATTAACGAGGCTGAACTTTTCGGCGATAGCTAACAACCAAGCATGAAGTCTCGTATGACTTGGTGAATTCTTCTTTGATCCACAGTTTTTTTAAATTTTGGATTTAGTCTTGTATACTTAAAACGGAAGCCAGCGTGTAAAACATTCACTAATTTGCCTATCAAGGTAATTTCTCAAAGGCCAACATAGCTTATTTATTCTTAACGTGATTGAATATTTAAGCATTATTCAATCACATTTCGTGGTTAACTTCAGGTCAACCAAATGTTACAAAATAACATGACTATCTTCTCAGAATCGATCAGTAGTAAACTTAGAGAATATGTAATACCATTTAAGCCAGTACAAACTTCGAATTTTTATGACATATAACGTAACCAAGGGTAATACAAATGATAAAACTGTGAGATGCTATAACTGTGGTATCAGACATGAATGGTTATATTATAATGGGAACTTTACGCATTTATTAAGTCCAGCCTAAGCTACGGTTCAGTGGATCAACATAACAATTTACTGTGTCGGTGTGTTTCAGGGGTCACCATTTGTAAGCTAGGCAAGTCACTCGGATGCTCAGTTCCCGAATCTGCTCACACCTCTGCTAAAGAGAGATGTATCCGGAAGGAGTTTCTCTGTGATGGCCACAATGACTGCTACAATGGGAATTTTCTATCAGATGAATTTGGTTGTGGTGAGTCTTAAAGTTAAGCCTCTTGTGTGCAAGGTCGGTATTAACGATGAGTTCTATTATAGTTAACAATGTGAACGATGAGTTCAAATAAATATTAATGTGGTATTAATATTATATTCATCAGGTATGCTTATGAACCACGCTATTTAGCACTAAGCTGGGTTGAAATGGGCGTGGGTGCATTGTAACCCCAGACTTTGGTGGAGTCTGGCTGTTTTCGCCTTTACGAAAGAACACGTCGTATCCATATATCAATATGTCGCCACTAGACGCATTCTTCTTTGTATCTCTATGCTACGATTAGTGTGGGTTTTTAAAGTATGTTGGTTAGTTGGTAGGAAGTGTGTTCAAAAAGGAAATAATAGTGTCGGGGGCATATGTCAAAAATATTAACCCATTACACGAGTAGTTGATCATAGTTATTTGCAATTTCAGATATTCCCAACGACGTCCAACAGATGACTGAATCGTTCAGATGCAAAGACAGCCGCACCCTTCCAGATTACCTGCGCTGCGATTTCAAGTACGACTGTCTCGACGGCGACGACGAACACGACTGTCCGTGTCAGTGTAAAAGTTGTAATATTATAACAAAGTTGACAAAACCTTTATAGTCCAGGATCTGAAGGGGGTTGAGCATGCATGAAAAGGGTGACGCAAATTTATTTCTGATTGTTGTTATAGGCACTATAGTGATCATGAAAACGCATGTCGTCGCCCCCCAGCGTGGTCGACAACCCGGGGGGGAGGGGGGCAATATGGCGGGGGGCGCCGTTTACTAAAACGCCTATAACTCAAGAACTATTCTAGGTAGAACATTGCAATAAACGTCAATTTACTCAAAAAATTATGATCTTTAAAAATGTTAATGTAGTGAAATTCGTATCTTTGATGGTTTTTTAGTTATTTTATATTGAAGCTAAAAATCAATATGGGGTTATGGGGTTAAAATAGGTTTTCCCATTTTTTACCCTAATAACCAAACAAATTGCAATTTATTTCTTAACCCATTTTGTAGAGCTTAAAAAAAGAAATAATTTAGTGTAGCAAAGGGCTGTTGTATGCCTAACGGTTATGGATATAGTTAAAAAAAACTTAAATTCAAAATGCCCATGTTATTCTTACGGAGAATCAAAAAAACTGTTGTAGTTTGCTTATATATGGATATATTATAATCAAATTTGGCAATTTTGTTTATTTCATACTAAGCTATCAACATTTCAATATAAAACTCACCTCAATACCTTCCCTGTATCAGCAAACCTAGGTACTCATTATAATTCATTTTATTTCAATAGGAAATAAAGCTGACAGTTTTCAGGGAATATTTGAGTATAATATAATATTGAGTCTGCAGGTTTACTGCGGCAGGGGTACTTTTTAAAGCAACCGAAATTACAAGTACCAAGAGACACCTTTTAAGGATAAACATAGCTTTTATGTTTGTAGATCTATGAATAAAAAAAATTGATGAAAGACCAGGAAAAAATTAATTATAGGAAAAACTGTTCTTTACTTAAGGTCCGTGAAGTTGGCGTACCCATATTAGCGTATCCACTTTTGATCATACCAATCGTTAGTTCATCGTTAGTTCTCGATAGTTCCCAAATGTTTTCGTTAGTTCTCAAAAAATAAAAAAGTTATAGCCGATAATAAGTGGGTACGCTAACTTCACACTTCCGGGTTCTAGCGCGCGCCGTTTTCTGATGAGAAATGTTTACATCTATATATCAATCGTTAGTTCTTCGTTAGTCCTCGACAGTTCCCAAATTTTTTCGTTAGTTCTCAAAAAATAAAAAGTTACGAGGCATACAAAGTGGGTACGCTAACTTCACAATTATTGTACAATTTCCAGCGGGTTAAATTAGTTTATCTATTCATTATGGGCTATACGTCTATTTATTTATTTATTAGTGACAAAAAAATTTGTTTTAATTATTAGAACTAAAGAAAATCCTGGAGAACTATCTAGAAGTAACGATTAATATTTATTTTATTTTATTTTATTTTGCATTCCAACGGATAGCTCCATTTTAATATTTGGTACAATTATACATGAAATAACATAGAATACTTGCTTACTACACTAGCCTAGTTATGCAATAGTTTACTGAAAACAATGTAAATGAATTAGTTAATAAGGAAAACGAAAAGGAGAAACGGCAAAAAGATGGCAAAAATGACAGCGGCAAGCAACAAAACGAGTGGAAAACATAACAATAACAGCATAGCTAATAAAAAGTAATAATAAAAAGAATTTTTTCGTCAGATGAAGTTGCACGCTAGAATTTCTGTAGGTGTGAAATTAGCGTCCTTATTCAGCTTCAACTCATCAGGTGCAATTTTTAAATTTTGTTAGAACTAACAAAATAAATCGGTGAGCTATTAAGTACTTACGATTAATATTAAGATATAGGCACTTTTAGTCAGACAAGGGTGCACGCTAGGAATGATTTGGGTGTGAGGTTGGCATAACCACGTTTAAGACCTTATTGGCTTTTTAATTTTTAAGAACAAGCAATAATATTGGGGAACTAACAAGAAATAACGAAGAACTAAAAATTGGTATATAGATATAAGCGTTTTTAGTCAGAAAACGGTGCCCGCTGGAAATTTTATAATTTTGAAGTCAGTGTACTCACTTTGTATGCTTCGTAACATTTTTAGTTTTTGAGAACTAACGTAAATATTGGAGAACTATCGAGAACTAACGAAGAACTAACGATTGGTGTATAGATATAAGCATTTGTAGTCAAAAAACTGTGCCCGCTGGAAATTGTACAATTGTGAAGTTAGCGTACCCACTTTGTATGCCTCGTAACTTTTTTTATTTTTTGAGAACTAACGAAAAATTTGGGAACTGCCGAGGACTAACGAAGAACTAACGATTGATATATAGATGTAAACATTTCTCATCAGAAAACGGCGCGCGCTAGAACCCGGAAGTGTGAAGTTAGCGTACCCACTTATTATCGGCTATAACTTTTTATTTTTTGAGAACTAACGAAAACATTTGGGAACTATCGAGAACTAACGATGAACTAACGATTGGTATGATCAAAAGTGGATACGCTAATATGGGTACGCCAACTTCACGGACCTTAAGTAAAGAACAGTTTTTCCTATAATTAATTTTTTCCTGGTCTTTCATCAATTTTTTTTATTCATAGATCTACAAACATAAAAGCTATGTTTATCCTTAAAAGGTGTCTCTTGGTACTTGTAATTTCGGTTGCTTTAAAAAGTACACCTGCCGCAGTAAACCTGCAGACTCAATATTATATTATACTCAAATATTCCCTGAAAACTGTCAGCTTTATTTCCTATTGAAATAAAATGAATTATAATGAGTACCTAGGTTTGCTGCTACAGGGAAGGTATTGAGGTGAGTTTTATATTGAAATGTTGATAGCTTAGTATGAAATAAACAAAATTGCCAAATTTGATTATAATATATCCATATATAAGCAAACTACAACAGTTTTTTTGATTCTCCGTAAGAATAACATGGGCATTTTGAATTTAAGTTTTTTTAACTATATCCATAACCGTTAGGCATACAACAGCCCTTTGCTATACTAAATTATTTCTTTTTTTAAGCTCTACAAAATGGGTTAAGAAATAAATTGCAATTTGTTTGGTTATTAGGGTAAAAAATGGGAAAAACCTATTTTAACCCCATAACCCCATATTGATTTTTAGCTTCAATATAAAATAACTAAAAACCCATCAAAGATACGAATTTCACTACATTAACATTTTTAAAGATCATAATTTTTTGAGTAAATTGACGTTTATTGCAATGTTCTACCTAGAATAGTTCTTGAGTTATAGGCGTTTTAGTAAACGGCGCCCCCCGCCATATTGCCCCCCTCCCCCCCGGGTTGTCGACCACGCTGGGGGGGCGACGACATGCGTTTTCGTGATCACTATAGTGCCTATAACAACAAACAGAAATAAAATTGCGTCACCCTTTTCATGCATGCTCAACCCCCTTCAGATCCTGGACTATTACCACCTCATTGTTACTCAGGAAAGAAAAGTACTTTATGTATAGATTTATACTATACAAATAATATTATTTATAATCTATGATATACAGGTCATAAGTGTTAAATAAACGTTTGCATTAAACTACGCAGTAATGGTGACAGAATGTCGCACATTTGAGTTTCCCAACTTTAACCGTTAGAGAATAACAAATAAATTAAGATTTTTCCAAAATTATTGTAGTTGTTATGAAAAAGGTTATATGTCACTTTCAGAATCCTCACAAAACTCTCATAAGACTCTATATGTTTGCAGTTACCGAGTGTAGAGAGGGAGAGTGGAGCTGTTCTAATGGTCAGTGCATCCCCTATAACTCTTACTGTGACCTCACACTTGACTGTATGGATAAGACGGACGAAATTAACTGCAGTAAGTAAATAGCACGATCATTAGATTGATTAAGACTAGGTGTACAGCTAGCATTACAATCAATACGAAACATAACCACGAATCAATTTAACTTACCCTTAAATAGTTCTCCTAAAGATTATCCTAGACAATCAACGTAGATGATTGAATATTGAAAATCCAATCACAAAAGTGTAATGAGCTTAGTCAGTAAGTTTGCGAGAAGATTATCCCTAAACTTGTCGGATTTGATCCCTACTAAAAACAATATGTTTGATGTATACTTGGGTTTGCTGAAATGGTCAAGGAAAAGGCAATTTTTCGAAATATTTTAACTGTAGTCTATGATATAAAATAAATTATATGTATATATATATATATATATCACAAACCAACTTGGCCCAACTACAACGTTTTACTGTTTCTGCCTGATAATAAACTGGGAACTCTAAAATTACAAAAACTACAATTTATATATATATTTTTAAACGTTATTTCATTTATAACATCTGAAACTTACAACAATGCATGAATACACAAAAACATTTGTATTTTGGGCTTTACACGATGATTTTAATGCAATTGTGCTTTACCCAATCTTGCTGGTTAACGAAGTTACCCGATCGAACCTAATGAAGATAATCTTACCCTCTACACATTAATTTCATATATTTTAGATCATATTGCATCTGCCAATTATCTAAGTCACTAAAAGCATTATTGTGGCACAGAAAATAAAATTTTTGTTTGAAACCAAAGAATTTTTCAGTGATTATACTTATACTATATTGAAACAAAGTAAAAACAAAAAGAAATCACGAGAAAGTGGTGTTTATAAAAACGGTATATTAAAACTCTGAACACCCTAAGATATGGTTTTACGCCGGCAATTATAGTTTCAAATACCTAACTTAAGATATTGCGGGACCACTAAACCCATAGCTTACCTTTTATGTTTTATATGCTATGTTTTATGATATAGTCCAAGCACACTAAAAAAAACTGACACAGGGAACGTAAAAAAATTTCAAGAAAACGTTTTATGGTTTTATTTTGTAGTGTTGGGTTTGCAGAGTGACACACTAAAAGTTGGCAAAAATCGGTTCACAAGAAACCACCTAAAATCACAATTAAAAATTGCGGTTTTTCCCAACATTGGACCAATTTGAAAAAAAAGGTACAACATGCATTTTTTATTCAAAATTCTTTGAGATATTGACTTGGGACAACCACCGATGTTTATTGGGTGGTTAGTACTTAATTTCGATAGGGAACTCATTTTTGGCCGGCATCTTGGATCCACCATATTGGATATAAAAAAAAATTAAATGTAATGATAACGTTATGACGCATGATTATAAATTTGATTTTCACGCTGATTTCAATGCCGAAATCCGTTTTTAAATATCTGTTTACGTTTTGAATATATATTCAAACGAAAACTCTCCCCGATACATTTCTTATGGACGTTTCGTACTTTCGTAAATTTTTTAAGATATAATTTTTATTATATCACAAGTTCTGATCAACGCTTGCAGTTCAGTCCAGCCTTTAAATATTCTGTGGTGAAAGGGCTTTCATTTGACCATTTAATCATTCAAATCGAACGAGTGAGAGACGAGCTACAATAACCAAAACAATATTGAATTTAACTTTTTAGAAATCTTCTTTATTAAAAGATTTATATCTCGAGATGTTATTGCGTCACCAAGTTCTTTCTGATTTTGAATTACTTAGTAAATGTTTGGCTTTTATTTTATAAATCACTATATCAAATCTGACAAATCTAAAGTGAGTCTTGGACCTTCATTTAACTTTTTTTTTATTTAGAAATTTGTCTTTGGTTTAAGACATATACCCAATTATACTGTTATATTGTTTTACATCCCCAGGTTCGAAGGTATGCAGGGAAGGCTACGTCAAGTGCTAGGTGGGTGGGCAGTGTGTCGCTCAACAGTTTAACTCCTTGTTTTACATCCGCAGGCTCGATGGTATGCAGGGAAGGCTACGTCAAGTGCCAGGTGGGTGGGCAGTGTGTCGCTCAACAGTTTAACTCCTTGTTTTACATCCGCAGGCTCGAAGGTATGCAGGGAAGGCTACGTCAAGTGCTAGGTGGGTGGGCAGTGTGTCGCTCAACAGTTTAACTCCTTGTTTTACATCCGCAGGCTCGATGGTATGCAGGGAAGGCTACGTCAAGTGCCAGGTGGGTGGGCAGTGTGTCGCTCAACAGTTTAACTCCTTGTTTTACATCCGCAGGCTCGATGGTATGCAGGGAAGGCTACGTCAAGTGCTAGGTGGTTGGGCAGTGTGTCGCTCAACAGTTTAACTCCTTGTTTTACATCCGCAGGCTCGAAGGTATGCAGGGAAGGCTACGTCAAGTGCTAGGTGGGTGGGCAGTGTCTCGCTCAACAGTTTAACTCCTTGTTTTACATCCGCAGGCTCGAAGGTATGCAGGGAAGGCTACGTCAAGTGCAAGGTGGGTGGGCAGTGTGTCGCTCAACAGTTTAACTCCTTGTTTTACATCCGCAGGCTCGATGGTATGCAGGGAAGGCTACGTCAAGTGCCAGGTGGGTGGGCAGTGTGTCGCTCAACAGTTTAACTCCTTGTTTTACATCCGCAGGCTCGAAGGTATGCAGGGAAGGCTACGTCAAGTGCCAGGTGGGTGGGCAGTGTGTCGCTCAACAGTTTAACTCCTTGTTTTACATCCGCAGGCTCGATGGTATGCAGGGAAGGCTACGTCAAGTGCCAGGTGGGTGGGCAGTGTGTCGCTCAACAGTTTAACTCCTTGTTTTACATCCGCAGGCTCGAAGGTATGCAGGGAAGGCTGCGTCAAGTGCCAGGTGGGTGGGCAGTGTGTCGCTCAACAGTTAACTCCTTGTTTTACATCCGCAGGCTCGAAGGTATGCAGGGAAGCTACGTCAAGTGCTAGGTGGGTGGGCAGTGTGTCGCTCAACAGTTTAACTCCTTGTTTTACATCCGCAGGCTCGAAGGTATGCAGGGAAGGCTACGTCAAGTGCCAGGTGGGTGGGCAGTGTCTCGCTCAACAGTTTAACTCCTTGTTTTACATCCGCAGGCTCGAAGGTATGCAGGGAAGGCTGCGTCAAGTGCTAGGTGGGTGGGCAGTGTGTCGCTCAACAGTTTAACTCCTTGTTTTACATCCCCAGGTTTGAAGGTATGCAGGGAAGGCTGCGTAAAGTCCTAGGTGGGTGGGCAGTGTGTCGCTCAACAGTTTAACTCCTTGTTTTACATCCGCAGGCTCGAAGGTATGCAGGGAAGGCTGCGTCAAGTGCCAGGTGGGTGGGCAGTGTGTTGCTCAACAGTTTAACTCCTTGTTTTACATTACCAGGCTCGACGGTATGCAGGGAAGGCTACGTCAAGTGCTAGGTGGGTGGGCAGTGTCTCGCTCAACAGTTTAACTCCTAGTTTTACATCCACAGGCTCGAAGGTATGCAGGGAAGGCTGCGTCAAGTGCTAGGTGGTTGGGCAGTGTGTCGCTCAACAGTTTAACTCCTTGTTTTACATCCCCAGGCTCGAAGGTATGCAGGGAAGGCTACGTCAAGTGCTAGGTGGGTGGGCAGTGTCTCGCTCAACAGTTTAACTCCTTGTTTTACATCCGCAGGCTCGAAGGTATGCAGGGAAGGCTGCGTCAAGTGCCAGGTGGGTGGGCAGTGTGTTGCTTAACAGTTTAACTCCTTGTTTTACATTACCAGGCTCGAAGGTATGCAGGGAAGGCTACGTCAAGTGCCAGGTGGGTGGGCAGTGTCTCGCTCAACAGTTTTGGTGCGATTACTTCATAGACTGTCCGGACGGATCTGACGAATCTAATTGTTGTAAGTATGTCACCAAAATATAGGAAACTGTATACTTTAGGAATACCAAATGCTATCTGTGAATTAAGAGCTAAACGTACTTCATTGCCGCTCGAGGGCTGCAGATGACCGCACGAAGCTTTAGCTGGATGCGGCCATACATTATTTTAAAAGCGGCAATGACTGTCTGTGCTCGTTATACACCCTAGATCTTTCCTACCACTATAATTAACTTATCATAACACACAGGTAGACTTTTTAGTTGTATATAATATGTCATTTCAGTTATGTTTGCTGTTTAAGATTAAGTTATTTAATCTCTTTTCTCTGAATATTTACTTTCAATGCGAATGGAGTAAAAATAAAAAATCATCTCTTGAAAATATGCTCATGTCAAGACTAAGTTTCCTATGGTTTGGACAAATAATAAAAAATAAATCATTACTCTTACTTATAATAAACTTACTTTTATCAGTAACTTATTTAATCACAAAGCTCTAAGTCCAAATTTAGATCACGGCAGTTTATTTTACTTGCTATTTCGGATCCCTTTACAAAAACATACGGTTTGTTATTGAATATTTAGTACATAAATATACATAAAATTACTTAGTTCAAATACTCAGTCAGACGGGAGAATATTTTAAAACAGTAAGAAGATATGAAATTTCCTTCTAAATGTTTTTATAACTATCCTATAGAGATGCTGATTATTAACCACTGTATGGATCAAGATACGTTTTTGACGGCCTAAGGAAGTTTGTACAAATTCTCTTCATTTTAACCATATAATACCTTGTTACAGCGAAACTGCAGACTAATCGAATTCAATTTTTTCTTATTGGATTTCAACTAAAATGTTTCCATAACTAACTGAGGTTCGCTCCTATGGGGAAGGGAAAAAGTGTTAAAGTGTTTTAGCGAATCTCCCTTATAGGGAACAAGCTATTACTGTAGGTCTCATTGTAAGACCAGATCCAGAACTGATATAATTTTCGTCTTGAGGTCTTCAGAGGCCAAAAACACCATTCGTTCAAAATTTTTGATATATTTATTATTTATTATTATTATTATTATTTATTATTTATTTAACATATATCATTTAATATATTTAATATACAGGGTTAGTAAAAAGTGTGGAGACCCTCTGTTATTTTTTTAACGGCCCATACTAGAAAAACTAAACTCGGCACACCTTTATGACATGTAATGAAGTACTTTTTGGGCATAACCGTCACTTGGTGTACATCCCCAAAATGGGGAATTTTGGGGGAAACTCAAACATTTCAAATACAAAGACCCATCGAGTGATCCCCCTCATTTTGAAGGTCCGTGTAAAAGAAAACCAACAACGCAAACTAGAGGTCTTTATCTCAATCCAGTAAAAAATGGCAGCCAATTGAAATTCTCAGAAGTTCAATTTAACTCTTACAGCTTTCCAAGTCTGGAGACCTGCTGTAAATTTTGTAGCGGCTCACACTAGGAAAACTAAACTCTAAACACCTTTTTGGCATGTTATGAAGTACTTTTTAAGCCTAATAGCCACTTGCTTACCAAACCCAAAATGGGGGATTTTGGGGGAAACTCAAAAGTTTTCAATAATAAGCCCCATCGAGTGACCCCTCATTTTGAAGGTCCTGGTAAATGAAAACTAACAACGCAAGCTAGAGGTTTCTATCTCAATCCAGTAAAAAATGGAAGCTGATTGAAATCTTTAGAAATTGGAAATAACTTGCAATTTTATATTCAATTAGCTGCCATATTTTACTGTGTTAAGATAGAGACCTATGGTTTGCGTTGTTACTTTTCTTTTATTATGACCTTCAAAATGAGGGGTCACTCGATGGGTCTTTGGATTTGAAATTTTTTAGATTCCCTTAAAATCCCTCATTTTGGGGAAGAACGCCAAGTGGTGGTTATGCCCAAAAAGTACTTCATAACATGCCATAATGGTGTGCCGAGTTTAGTTTTTCTAGTACGGGCTGTTAAAAAAATAACAGGGGGTCTCCACACTTTTTACTAACCCTGTATTTATTTCTCTGTAGCAGCAAACCTAAGTGCTCGTTAAACTAATGGTATTAAATAAAGAATAAATATGGCAAAAAAATCGCTCAGTCTGCAGATTTGGTGAGGGGAGGGGGTATTTATTTTATATAATGTTAGTAGTATAGGATGAAATCATACATTTGGTGTGCAAGTATACGAGCTTTCCATTAAAAATTAAACTACAACAGTTTAAATTTGTTCCATAAGAATAACATTAGAATTTTCAATGTACAGTGTTTTATAATTTTCTACGTTATTCAAATCCCCTAACATCCTTTTCCCATGACCCGATCTTGCAAAATAATTCGAGTTTATCGAGCTCTACACATTCTTACTAAATATTAGCAAAATCTGACCAAAATAACTCGAGTTATCATGTTCTAGTACTTACACAAACATTCAGACACAAACACATAAATATTCTATATATAGTGATAAAAAATAAAAATATTAAAAGGTTATATTAAATTATAAACATTTGAACGAATAGTGTTTTCGGCATCTGGTACATCAAAATAAAAAATAAAAATGGTCCTAGAGGTAGGTCTTTCCATACCACCTATGGTAGTTTCTTCTCTATTGGGAAATTCGCTAAAATAACTTTTCTAGAGGGTTATATCTTAAAGCAGGAGTTTTTTTACTTTATATTGATTTTAGGTAATTATAATTGATAATACAAAGAGAAATGGCGTCTAATCGATGAAGGTAGTTCAAGAACGTTGGTCAAAGAGATAACTCTCTCAGAGTTGTACTAACAGTCATGGTCCTTGACAAGCGTTTGCTGTGGCAAGATCAAGATGTTTGCGGAATACTACTTGAAATGTCTAGTTGCAAATGTCTTGAGTATCTTCCTCCCAATGACGACGAGAATAGCATATTTTGTTTGATTATTCATTGTCTTTCTAATATATTTATGATTGTTATGGTTGTATCTCTTTTTATATCTATCGGCGGTGATACGATACGCCCTGTTTGATCTTGTTTCTCAATATTGCATTATATTCTCGTTAAATGATTTACTAATTGAAGGGGTATTATTTAAAAACTGGTCCCTTCGAGACTTGGTTATTCCCTTAGATGAGGAACTCCATTGGGCCCTTGCTTTATATACATTATAGCAACTATAGTTCATTTTAGTTATTAACAATTTTTTTTAAGATTTATGTATTTACGATGCCATGGACACGACCCAAAGTGTAATACAATTTATCAGCCAAGCACTTGACTGACATTACAGTTATTTTGTTCATTAATCACTTCATTGTATTTGTTAAAAACCAAAGTCGTTTGTATTTGACAAGCTTTAAACTAAATAATCTGTTGTATAAATAAACAATTAACTTAAAAAATAACTTATTAACATAGAAAATTAGGGTATTATTTGGGAATAAAGAAATTTGGAGGGATTGAATTGATTTTAATTATGAACATTTTGTAATTCAGTTTTCATATATGTTACTTTTTATTGACTAAGCAAAAATGCAGTAGTTTCGCCATTGATTCGCAATGTAGCATGAACCTAGAATTTTAACAGTATTTTCAATGATCATTGCATTTTAAGTAAAGAATTCGCTAATATTAAAGCCAAAAATATACTTCCAATGAATAAATGATTTTCGTACATAGTACATAGTTTTAAAACCTTTTTCGTTTCAACCAGCCATGTTGGATCATATCATTAATCAATATTGTTATATACAAATCTGATGTTTAATAAATAAAAAGGTTAAAATACATTATTGTCACCTTGCGGTCCAATATTTATCCTACTGGAGTATGCGCATTTCAGCACAAGCACCATCGTCGGATCAGTATGCAACTAGAAAGTTCACAACACAAAAACACATCATTGGCCCGGAGTTTTATCCGTAACTGATTTGGAGCAAAACAATTAAATCTATTAATGAAAATTTAATTGTTGTTGTTATGATGGTGTTTTGACATTGAAGCGGTTTTGTTTGATGTATCCTACTTGGTTCTTAAGAGCTGTGCCTGCATGCAAAATAGCCATAGTTAGACAGGCTTTTAGCCAGAGTTTACCTTTGATCTACGTTCTGTGATTGACTGATTGATACCAGTCTAGAGACAAACTGCCAATTACAAACCCGACAGTCAATCACTAATGCTTTAGTAAATCATGAGCGTACCAACTGATTTAGAAATTATAACCCACGTCTATAAATGCATAAAATGCTCCAACATGTAACTTGGCTTATGTTTCATACGAAAGGTTCTACCTACGGATTTATTGGCTGTATGCCCTACGATCAGGACTGCATTAGAACTAGAACCCTAACAATCTGTTTTGGGGCCAAAACCAATTTGTCAAGTCGGGTCTAAAGCCAAAGTATCAAAGACATTACTAGCCTACAATTTTAGTGGCGTTTACACTCTTAGTTGTTTTGGTATTCGGTAATCGCAGATTAGGCCTAATAACTATTCGAAAATATAACAGATAAAAGCTATTAGTGGTAGGGTCTGAATTTTTCGGAGTTCAAGTTTCAACGCTATTATTTTGTTAAAGCATTCTATTTGAAAAATATTAAACCGTAAAACCTATTTTTAAATGATTTAGTCAATAACAGTGTATGATGTTATAGTCGCATACATAACTTGATATCAATAACAACTTCAATTGCAGCAAGGAGATGATGAATCAGATTTCAGATCAGATTTAAATAAGATATTAAATTATATATTCAGCAAAATTTATATCCTACATATTGCCGTATTTTAATGTTTGGAGTAAGAAACGTGAACTGATAGTAAATTTGTTATTAAATTGCATGAAATGAGGAACATTTCCAATTTATAAACGGCTAATGATAGTAAAATCGATCATCGCTTTACTTTTTAACGGGAACAAAATTTATTTTAATTCATACAAATGTTGCAAAACAAACTGAGGGTTTTTCAAAGTTTTCCCTCTTTACCAGTAACAATTATCAAGTTTACCAATCTGGACATAAGATAATCATAGTAAACCATACAGGTTCATTAGACCACAACATTATGTACCGATTACGTGTGGCCTCGACAGTAAGTCATGGTAAATAACTGTAGCAAACAAAATACCCTTGATGACTATTTATGAGATGCACGATTAGCTCAAAAAATAATGGATGTGTTATTCGAAAATGTAATTTTACACAAGTCGTGAGTAACAAAAGACGCAATGATTTTTGACAATTTATTAGAATTATTGGCCAGTCTTTTCTTCAAAATTATTTAGCGCTGAAGGCATTGTAATTAAAAAAATTACAAGGCAAAAATTTGGTTCGGATTCCACCATAAACTGTAGGTAGTTGCCATTGGCGGTATGGGCCAGGGGCGTATCCACGCGGAGGAGCTTAAATTGGAACGTCCCATCCAAACGAAGATTTTGTTTGTCAAAATATACAAAATTTATCATATTAAATCAATTATATAACTTTAAATTTAACAGGAATAACATTTTTATCTTTCAAATTTCAGTTTAACGATGGAAATCTAAAAAACTCATATACTTATTAGGACACTGTAAATGTTGATATGCATCGGAAATGGGGTAGCTTAGCAATCAAAATGTGAAGGTAAAATCCCTTGGTCTGAGTGGGAGACACTACACTGTGCACTGCATACCTTCTTGTTCTCACTTTTCCCATCGGCATCGGTTAATAGGACATCTCTAATTTTTGAACACCATGCCATGTTTTTGTTTGTTTGGATGTGCATTCTGGTTGTGATTTGAATAAACTACGTAAATATGGTATCTTTTCTAATTAATACATTTTTGTGCCTAAATATGACTGCTTCAATAATATAATACACGTATGCTTAAAGATCGGTCATAAAAATTCAAAGATAAAAATGTTTATGTAAAAGATACAAAAATAGTGGATATCTGGTTAACGAAGCGATTTTGAAAAAAAATGTTATTCTTGATTTTCTCTTTATTTTGACCCAAGGAATCAACTTAAATTATGTCCCCACCTTTTTGAACACCCTTCTATATACTGTACTGTATACAGGGTGATTGATATAAGTGTGCCAGCCGTTTTATTCGAAAACCATAAGATATATAAAAAAAAGTTAAATGTTAAGTGCCTTGGATTTTTTATTTAAAAAATTATAGTCGAGTCAACAAAATTATTTTAGCCGCCATTTTTCCAATATGGCCGCCAACTTGGATTTTTCTTATAGAACACTCTGTATTTTATGATGTATTCCGGTAGAAAATGTAATTTTAAGACGATTTTATTCTTGTAATTTTTTTCATAAACCTAACCATTTCAAAGATAATAATGGTTTAAGTTGTGAAATTTCTAATAGTTTTCGAATAAAACAGCTGGCATGCTTGCTTAGGCCTTTATCGAAACTCTTTCTCATGCCGAAATTTCAAAACTTTAACCATTATTATCTTTGAAACGGTTAGGTTTATAAAAAAAATCACAAGAGTAAAATCGTCTTAAAATTACATTTTCTACCGGAATACATCATAAAATACAGGGTGTTCTGTAAGAACAATCAAAGTTGGCGGCCATATTGGAAAAATGGCGGCTAAAATAATTTTTTCGACTTGACTACAATTTTTTAAATAAAAAATCCAAGGCACTTACCATTTAACTTTTTTTGATATCTCTTATAGTTTTCGAATAAAACGGCTGGCACACTTATATCAATCACCCTGTATACAGGGTGTTTTTTTAAAAACTTGCATCTTTATTTATGTAAAAACCGCAATAGATAGAAATATGCAGTTTGCGGGAATCATCTATTGACGTAGGGGGCCCAATTGTTTTGAATTCTACGTTACATTCACATTCCCCCCCTTTCCCCCCATGCCACCAACTTAATTTTTTTAAATAGCAAGGTACCCCTTGTGACATATCAAATAAAAGAGTATAAAAAAAGAAAATGTTTGATGAAAAAAAATTGAAAATCGGTTCACAAATTTGCGAGATATTTCCCCCTCCCCCTCCCCAGAACTTATTTTTTTTTTTAATAGCAAGGTACCCCTTGTGACATATCAAATGAAAGAGCATGAAAAAAGAAAATTTTTGGTGAAAACAAAATTAAAATCGGCTCATGAATTTGTGAGATAATCCCCCCCCCTTTTCCCCTACACATAATTTGTTTTTTAATAGCAAGGTACCCGCCCTTGCGACATATCAAATGAAAAATAAATTTCACCAAACATTTTCTTTTTTCATGCTCTTTCATTTGATATGTCACAAGGGGTATCTTGCTATTAAAAAAAAAAGTTCCGGGGAGGGGGAGGGGGAAATATCTTGCAAATTTATGAACCAATTTTCAATTTTTTTTTCATCAAACATTTTCTTTTTTCATGCTCTTTCATTTGATATGTCACAAGGGGTACCTTGCTATTTAAAAAAATTAAGTTGGTGGCAGGGGGGAAAGGGGGGGAATGTGAATGTAATGTAGAATTCAAAACAATTGGGCCCCCTACGTCAATAGATGATTCCCGAAAATTGCATATTTCTATCTTTTGCGGTTTTTACATAAATAAAGATGCAAGTTTTAAAAAAAACACCCTGTATAACTCATAGTGTTACCGATCCAGTTAGATTAATTTTCCTGGAACTTGTTTATACGTATTCCAAAATTTTCATATTCATTAACATTTGTTTATCTATTTGGAACGCTCATAATGCAATATAACTATAAAGTAAATAATTCTAACTATTAAATGATATTTATATAGTGAAGTGAGTGATTTTTTGCCGCATTGCTTTTAAGTTTGGGTTCAAATATGTATAAATATCATCACAAATATTAAAAATAATTTAAAATTATCGTTTGGTCAAGCATGACCTTGGAACAAAATTGCTTTGATTTTCGTCACACACCCAGTCGAAGGCGGTAGAAAACAAACCAAATTAAATGGATTGGGATTAGTTTTCTAGGAACATTCTGGGCGTTTCTATTACAGTGTCGTTAAATATGCTTGTTTTAATGTTCAAAATTTCAAAATTTTCCGGTGGCGGCCCAGCACCCCCCTCTGACTGGGGGGTTTCCATAGCCCCTATACCCCCTAGTAGGTCCCCCCAAACTTCGTCTCTGGATCCGCCCTGGTAGGGCTATTAATTGACAGCTGTGTCTAAGGAATGTCGGTCTTAGTCACTAACAAGACTACAAGATCGCACCACTCATCCTACATACTTCATCTCCATTCATACTTGGCTTGAAATACCTACTTTGTATGGTCGCCATTTAATAAGAAAGTATAAAGTAAAAAGTATAGGGGACATGCCGGCCTTTGTAACTAAAAAGACTACAATATCGCACCACTCATGCTACACTCATCTCCATTCATATTTGGTTTGAAATACCTACCTTCGTACGGCCGTCATTTAAATTAAACGTATTAAAGTAAAGCTATTAAGGCTTAAAAAATCTTATGTTGAGGATACATAGTTTTCAGTCATCTCGGATTAACAGTTATGATGATGATTATTCTTATTTTAACTCGGGCAAAATTGTGTATTGTCGTCAAAGGCTTCTTTTGTCGATCTTTTAATCATTTTTAATAATATAACAATCCCAAATGGGTATATTGTTTTATTGTTAGTCACTATGTCATATATCCACCACAAGTGCTTGATTTGCTGGTTGTTGTTATATCTCAGCCACCCGGTTGTGTGGCCCGGACCAGTTTACTTGTGACAGTGGGCAATGTGTGGACGCTAGACTGAGATGCTACGACAGCGGCTCTCCACGAGACGGCTGTGCTGACGGTTCACACCTCAAACATTGTCGTAAGTTTTTATGTCTACCATTTGTCTGACATGACACTTAGTCGAGCTGATTTATCGACCAAGTGGCATGTCGGACAAAGGTTGGACACTTGTGATTTCGATTGCATAGCCTTACAATGATTTGATGTACCAGAAAATCCTTGAGTTAAAATGAACAACTCATTATAAAGGTTCGTTGCTCAAACCCCTGCGATAAATTATCCAAACTTGGCAAAGGTATGTTATTGTAATAGTTTTAGAAAAGTAGGCTAATAGCGAGAATATTAAAAAAGTGTAGCTTGTTTTATTACTGTTAAATATTATAAAATCTGTATTTGATGCAGTGGGAAAACGATGTTTTACCTTGGCAATTAACTATTCAAATAGTAAAATAAAAACTAGAGGAAACATCAATAATGTTGTATCGTGTACAGTACGAAAGTGTTCAAGTTTTTATTGTGTGCACATTAAATAACTTCTTTATCAGCATTATTTTGTGTACATTAGTAATTCATATTTTATATTTTTACCATTTTGTATATGTTTATTAGACCAATCTTACAAAATAAAAACCGCTATTTTATACTAGTGCAGTGAACAGTGAACACTGAGTTAACATTATATCATTAAATTCCTTAAAGAATAGTGTTTTACTACCTTAAGAGTTTGTAGTAAAAAAGCATTTTGCCTCGGGCTTGTAAAGAATTATAGATTTAAACAGCTAATGTAATTATCAAGCATAAATGATACATAGATAACACTATGTAACAACAATGTTGACAAGAATGTCTCATACAAATCCCATTGGCGACGCAAAAAATGAGTGCTAAAGAGTTTTTAAGCAATGGTCTAAAAAATGTAGACCTAGTTTTAAAAATACTTTTAACTTTATATAGCCTTTTATATGTGTTTTTTTCTAACTGGACGTATACAACATGCCCATTGAATCAGATAAAGCGTCCAGGATACACGTTTAAAATACCATTATTTTCCCTCTTTATAGGAGAATGGGAATGTGTGGAACAGAATCAGTTTAAATGCAGAGGAGGTCCTTGCCTAAACATATCCCTGCTGTGTGACCATGCGATAGACTGCAAGGGGTCCTGGAACGATGAGGATGGCTGCCGTAAGTTGGTTAAACATGTTTAACAATGCTATTCGTTTATACTTTTTATTTAATGAGAGTGGTGATATTTTTCATTTGTCTGTCGACATTGACCTAAAAGGCCGGTGCGTGTAAAGAATAAAGCAAAGCAAAAGCCTAGCCGGTACAACAGTACAACAACGAATAATTCTGATGCATTTAAGTGGCAATCAAGACATCATTGCCGTTTATCAACAGACCACCGCGCTACTGACTAAAGCTACTAACTGATAAGTATTACAATCTCATTCATTATATTGACATTTATAAATGATGAATGCATAGAGTTTATCATCAATTTCTATCAGCTTCATATCCCCCAGCCACTTTATGGCAAATATATTGAAATTGTAATATCATATCCAATAATCAATTTAATTGAAACGTATTTTTTTACCTACAACAGTTATTTTTTAAAGTAGCCATTTCAGTTCAGTTCTTAGAATTGAAAAGTTAAATTGAAAGAGTTTACTTTTATATCAGCATAGTTTCATTTCATACCAGCATAGTTTTTCTCATATCAACACGGGTAACGGACCAATGAGATTCAAGGATTGAGAGAAAAGAAGTAAAATTAAAATGTTTCGAACGTCAACTAATCAGCTGATCAGCTGATCAGTTGACAATTTTAATTGTTGGTCCGTCTTGTTCAATGTTCCTGTTGATACTCGCGTAATTTTAACCTAAGTTGGTGTTTAAAGGAAGGTAGATTAAACTGATTTAAAAATTTCAGTTTTAGTGAAAGTGAAGTTGACGAGATGGAAACGAGAGCACAAACTGTTTGTGCTAATCCTTTGCCACCAAAATCGAAACAAATGTATACATACATACATACATGATACATGATCTCTCCGTCCGTAGTCCTTTGCCTTAAGGAATTGGACAGGTCAGGGTTAATACAAAGAATAACCAGCTTAATACTAATTTTTTTCACCGTCTAGGTAACTGTCTATGTCCTCTAAACTTAACTCTACTAGATATTTTTTTAATTCTGATTTGAATTTTGTTAAGCTCTGAATTTCAAGTAATTTTTTCGGTAGGGCCTGGTACAATTTCATTCCCATGTAATCTGGTTTGTGTTCAAATTTTGTGAGTTTATGTTGGACTGCATGTGTGCCCTTTGTTCGTGTGTTGTAAGTGTGATTTGTAAAAGTTGGTTTAATGTTCTGTGATTTTATATAGCAAACTGATTCATAGATATAAAGTGAAGGGACTGTGAGAAAGCCAAGTTCTTTATAAACATTTTTGCAGCTGGTCCGAGGCGGCATGCCCAAGATTGCTCTTACTGCCATATTCTGCCAAACAAAGATCCGGTCAATATTCTTCTTAACAGCTCCCCATAGAATGATTGAGTACAAAATGTGCTGTTCTATTAGGCCAAAATACACAAGTTTAGAGAGAGCCAGGTTTCCGAAGGTTCTTATTCTTCGAAGTACAAAGACCCCTCGAGCCATAGACCCCTCCAGTTTTTTTATTTGTGCATCCCAGCTCAATTTATCGTCCAATCTCACCCCCCAAAAGTCGGCAGTTTTTGAAATTTGAATTTGATCCTCTCCAATTAATAGGTTCGGAGTCCTATTATTTTTTAAATTTTGTCTTTTTGCAGTTTGGATACACATGTATCCTGTTTTTTGTGAATTTAATTTGAGTTTGTTTGAGGAAAAAAAGTCAGCCAAATCATTTGCTCTTTGATTAGATTCTACCTCCAGGGCCGCGTCGTCAGTTCCCCTTACGAATAACGTTGTATCATCCGCAAAGAGGTAGACGCTGTCCTGCGGAACAGTATCTGTGATGTTGTTGATGTAGACCAAGAAAAGGAGAGGTCCAAGGACAGATCCCTGGGGGACGCCATTGGAGATCAGTTTTTTTGTTGATGAAATTCTTTCAGTTTTTGAATTTGAGTTTTTTTTTAATCTCAGTGACTTGGAATCGGTTGCTCATATAGGATGTGAGCCACTTCAGCGCAAGTCCTGAGATTCCAATTGATGCCAATTTTTCCAATAGAATCGCAGGTTCGACACAATCGAAGGCTTTGGAGAGATCAGCAAAACAACCAACTACCGTCTCTCCAGCCTCCATTGCGTCTATACTGCTGTTGATGAAATCAATGAGTGCCAATTTTGTTGATTTGTTGCGTCTAAAACCATATTGTCTGTCACACAATATGTTATTTTTTTCCAAGAAGTTGCTAAGTTGCTCCGAAACAACTTTCTCAATCAATTTTGAAACGACTGGTAGGAGAGAGATTGGGCGATAATTCCCCGGATCAGTTCTGTCTGACTTTTTAAAAACTGGTTTTATTTTTGCAATTTTGCAATTCTGAGGGAAAATTCCAGATGTCAGTGAAAAATTGACTATGTGGGTAAGAGGAACTGCCACTTCCTCCCTACAATATTTTAGGACATGCATACTGATTCCATCTACACCACTAGAGTGTTTAGATGGTAGCTTTGAGAACAAATCCAGAAGGTAAGCAGATGTAATCAAATGAAATTGTCCAAGTTCAGCAGTGCCATTCCTCCTAAAACCAGATAAGGCATGGGTTTCCTGATCCTTGTTAACAAGCTTCGAAACATTAACAAAATAGTCATTTAGGGTTTCACACACTTCTATAGGATTTTCTATTTTGTTACCGTCAATATTCAGTATAATATTATTACAGTCTGAATTTTCTTTTGGCCTAATGCTGTTTATAATCTTCCAAGAGTCTTTAGATTTATTTTTTGAGCTGGATATGCAATCGTGTGCCCATTTTATTTTGCTTTCCTGTATTTTGTTTTTATATTTATCTTTAAGCTTTAGGTATAATTCTTTGTCAGATATCATTCCTGTCAGCCTCCATACAGAGTATTGTTGGAACATTTTTTCCTTTGCAGCTATTATCTCATTGTTCATCCATTTGTTTTTTCCTTTGCGACTGAGATTAAGTTTTGTTTTTTTATTCGGGCAGCTGATATCAAAATAATATTTGAATGTTTCTATAAAGCTATCATATTTGGTATTAATATCAGGAGCATCATATACTGAGTTCCAGTCCTCTGACTGTAGCCTTATTTTAAGTTCATGAAGATTTTCATCAGTAATTATTCTTTTTTCTATGGTTTTATTTTGGTTTGAGATACTATTTTGGTTTGAGATAATTTCAGGTAGGCTTATTTCTATTGAGATAGCACAGTGGTCTGAAATATGGGGTTCTTTTACTGCTGCTGATAATATTTCAAAGTTGGTTAAAAAATTGTCTATGCATGTGCTGGTTGTGTCTGTAATTCTAGTTGGTTCAAAAATGTTTGGTTTCATATCAAAACTTTTAATCAGAGTTGCAAATCTGTGGTAAGTGTTGTCTGAAATCTGATGTGTAAGTGTTGTATGAAATTACATACTAGCAATTCATTAAATGGACAAAACAAAATAAAGGTAGATTGTTAAATAAAAATGAGCTTCTGGTTTATTTTGAAAACCTCTTAACCGTTGTTTCACCCAAATCGTTGTGGACGACATATTCGATGCTGAGATCCAACTGTAAATTAACTGATTCATTATATTGTTCAGTTGTCCAAATAAATATGCAATATTTCCCTAACTGTAACTGATACAGTATTTATGGTGAGAATGCTGCTAGAAGAAGCTATTGCCTGCAAAAAAATAGTAACTTATTATTTAACGAAATTTTACAAACACGTAATTACATGAAACCAGCTGATTATACAATAAGTCGTTGCATCACTTTCAGTGGCAATGACAATCAACGAAAACATAACCTCTCTAAGAAGTTATGAGTAATGATTGTTAGTTATTATAAACCAGATTGTTAGTACCTAAAAAACTATCGTAGGTAAAGTAGTGTACGCAACTCGCGTTAATAGTCTTTACGTCACTCGTAGAAGTTTTTAAGGCACTCGCCAAGGCTCGTGCCTTAAATTTTCTACTCGTGTCGTAAAGACTAACTTAACGCAATCGTTGCGTAAACTACTATTACCGTTAACTTTCAATGTCACAAAAAATGCTGATTTATACAGCTTGTTGGATATGATTGGCGCATCGAGTTGATGGATACACTTATGTATATAATCAATTAATTTCCCATAATATGCATTGTGAAAACGATTTGAACATTTAATAAACTTATAAACTAGTATGCATTATTTGATTATATTGATTGTTGTATCCAATAACATAATTCTATTTGCTTTAGCTCTTAATGGTTTTGAGCATGTATTGATTTTTGATTAATTATTCCTCATAAAAAATTGTAATAAATTGCTGTATATAGACATAATGGTATTCTCATGGAATAAAAAAACGTGTTATAATGTACAATAAAAAAATATAAAAATGAATGAGTGAACCAATAAATAAATTAAGCATAAAAATAACCATTTTAAACATCAATCGACAAACGATAACAATAAAGCTACTAACACACGTGACACAACTTTGCCTGACTGGAAGCTATTTACAACTTATATTTTTACATCTTATCTAGTGATAAAAATATACTTTTATTCATAACCTGATAACGCCAGGTATAAAAAATATCGCTATGTTTCCCAGGATTTGTTTTTTTTGCCTCTACATAGTTAAAAACATTTATTTAGGATTAAGGGTAGTTAATGAGAATACCATTTTTAGCCAGGAAATTAATCATTCGAATAAAAAAATATTTTTATAGCGGCAAAACTATTATTGTTGTAAAGAATTTGCTCACTCAAGATATACAAAAACTCTTTATCTATTTTCCAGCATTTACCTGTTCAGCCAGCACGCCTCAGTGCGAGTGTAGGGATATCCACATCAACTGTACCGACCGCCATCTTGTCTCCGTCCCCACCGACACTGAGAAGGAGATCACTTGGTTGTAGGTGTTTTTAAACATCAGCTGATCTTTGCTTGTTTTCAATGATTACTCCAGGAGTGCTTAATGAATTCTAATTTAAAGAAAATAGGATATTTTCTTATTCTAATTTTTTATTACATTCTCATTTTCTGTATATTCGTATTTCGTAAACTAGTAGATGCTTAATATAACAGCCCTTTACAGTGTTTAGGGTGGATTGGCAACTGTGTTGAAACAACAATAAAACCAAACAAAATTATTCAGTCTTGCAAAACATTTGAAGTATCTGCAGTCCTAGTGTTAAATACGAGGGGAGCGAGCTGGCGTAGTGGCTAGAGCGCGGGACTTTGGTCCGTGAGGTCCCGGGTTCGATCCCCGCCAAGTCACCAATGGATTTTATCTAAGTGATAATGCCGCAACCCCTAGGTCTAGCCTGAAGTAATGTGAAAAACAATCCCAGGCTCGTGCCTAGCGTCCTAGGACAAAAAAAAGTGTTAAATACGAGGCTTTTTAGAGTATTTACATTCCAAGTTTTCCATAAATTGGACAGAAACTTTTAAGTTTAACTGCAGTTTTTACCTCAATTAAAAGTCAAATTTACTGAATGACTGATTCGATGTAGTTAAATAGTCCAATACAAAATATATATTAGAGGGAGAAATAGTCTATTTTTCTCTAGTATTGATAATGTTTCCAATATTGTATCTATCTATATATACAAAAGAGGAACTATGTATGTATGTATGGTTATATGGATATATATATACATGGACTCTGAAACCGCTCGACAGATTGTAATGATGAGTCGTGTATAAAAAAAATAATGATTTAGTCATTGCAGCTCAGCGGCAGTTCCGTGCATTCTTTTAATTAGTGTGGTGTGGAGACGTTCCGTCACGTAGCACAATCTTCTAACTTGAGAACAACGGATTTTGCATTCAAATAGAAGCTGACATGCCGTCCTAAGTCAGATGAGACGCCAGACAACTGACATTCGATAGAGTCCGTGCTGCTGTGGAAAACAGTCCTCGTAGGCCAGGCCCACCCGAAAACAAGAGGTTGCTTTGAACATGCCAGACAGCTCGGTTACACGAATTTTGAGCTTCAATCTTAATTTTCATCCAAACAGATTAATCTATATATTAATAGGCAAGCATGTTTTTTACCCTTTTTCTCAGCTCATTTGCATTACAGGGAAATTCTACTCATACTGTTGGAATAGTATATTTCATTACTAGGACCGAAAGTGGCATTTTCCGTCGCGCGCTCAAGTTTTTGGGGGAAACCCAGGGAACCCCAATTTCACGTGCGAGGCGAAGCCGAGTATGTGAGAGCTATTTTCACGTACGAGGCGAAGCCGAGGAGGGGAATAATGGAGCAAGTGCCGGATAATAACTTTCGGTACAAGTTATGAACGATACTTTTCATCAAGACGCAAAAATCCAAGAACACAGAATAGCAGACCTCAGTAATATTGCAACTATTTTATTTCTGAATTAATTTGATTGAACATCAAAATAAAATAAAATCTTCTAAAAGGAAACTTACGTCTATTTTTGATTAATTTTTAAAACAAAAAAATAGGAGAAAATATTCTAAAGTTAGCCTACGTATATTCTCAATGAATTTTGTTTAAACATCAAAATAAAAGAATAAAACAACGTTTAAGAACACACACAGCTGATTCAAATCATTAAATTAAACCGTAAAAAAACACTAGCGCGCGTGGTGAATAAATGGAGAAGTAATTGAGAGCGAGGGAAAGTAAATTTAGAGCGAGGGAAAATCAGCTGTTCGATTTTCCCTCGCCCTAAATTAGAGCTTGGGAAACGACTACTTTCATTGATGTCAGCTGTTATCGAAAATAGTTACTTTTGTTAAGAAGTGATGAAATAGTATATTTCATTACTAGGACCGAAAGTGGAATTTTCCGTCGCGCGCTCAAGTTTTTGTGTGAGGCGAAGCCAAACACAGGGAACATCAATTTCACGTGCGAGGCGAAGCCGAGTATGTGAGTGCTATTTTCACGTACGAGGCGAAGCCGAGGACGGGAATAATGGAGCAAGTGCCGGATAATAACTTTCGGTACGAGTTATGAACGATACTTTTCATCACGACGCAAAAATACACAAACACAGAATAGCAGACCTCAGTAATATTACAACTACTGTATTTTATTTCTCAATTAATTTGATTGAACATCAAAATAAAATAAAATAAAATTTTCTAAAAGGAAACCTACGTATATTTCTCAATACATTTTGTTTAAATATCAAAATAAAAGAATAAAACAACTTTGAACAATACATGCAGCAGATTCAAATCATTAAATTAAACCATAACAAAACACTAGTGCGCGTAGTGAATAAATAGAGAACTAATTGAGAGCGAGGGAAAGTAAATTTAGAGCGAGGGAAAATCAGCTGATCGATTTTCCCTCGCCCTAAATTAGAGCTTGGGAAACGACTACTTTCAGTGATGTCAGCTGTTATCGAAAGTAGTTACTTTCGTTACGGAGTGATGAAAAGAAATTTTCCTGTAGACGTGCAGAAAACCTTTAGAGATAAAAAATAGGTAAAACAATAAGCACAAAAATGAATTTAAAATTTTAAAAAATAACATGGAAAAAATAGAAGAAATTCCAATCACATGTTTTATATACCGGGGGGGGGGGGATATAGAAGTCTGTACATTACATATCTTTGGTCGAGCTTTCGACCACTGGACTACCTCTGGTTTAAATTAATCTGTTTAATTTTGGTTTTTATCTATACAGATAATCGCAACTTAACCTCTCTATATTGCCCTTATTGAAAGATTGCAATGACTGAATAATTTCTGGGTTGACTTAAAAATATATGTTATTTCTCCATAAATGAAAAATAAATAATAATTATTGCCTATTAATTCTGATGTGGTTATGGAAAAAACAAAGCTTAGATTATTTTAAAGGGGTTTAAGGTTAATATTACTTTTTAATGAATTCAGTTGAAGATATCTTTCGACAATTCTATAGTAGATACAAAAACAAATAAACAAACAGAAGGATTAAAAGTTAAAAGTGAGTATTTTAAGAGTAAAATATTTTTGTTTCAGTCATCTTGGAAGTAATCAGCTGAATGAAACCTTGAACAACGACACTTTTGTGCAATTTGAAAGAATTCTATACTTGTAAGTAATTACCTACTTTGTGAATTGTTATGTTAAAAACTATATTAGACGTGTTTCTCACTCTACTTAGAATGAATCTTAAACAGCAATGAAACAATAAGGTGTTATTAAAAGTATGATACGAATGGACCAATCGTTTCCATGTTTTTAAGGTATATCTCGAATCAAATAGCAGTAGAGTAAATAAAAAAGATACCATCACAAAGCTTAAATATATACCAAGCTCCTACGTGGTGTATATATTTGCCAATTAATTAGTTGTGGTTCCGTTTGTCACCAACTGCTCTCTAACTTGCAACACGTCTATAAATTAAAACCAAACAAGGTTTCCGATGTCCTGTTGACTTATTTATTGAGTACATTTATCGTTATAGGAAACCATTTACTGAATTAAATTTGATATAAATGGTTCATAGAGTTACTTTGGTATCGTACGATAAATAAATGCCCTTGTTTAAAATTGATCCACAGCCACATAATGATATTAAAACATAAGTGTTATCCATGCAAAACAATTAAAACTTGACTTCATACTGATTTGGCCAATTTTCTTGGTTGATATTTAATTAATCTTAAACAAATTAGCTGACCATTGTTTAAATTAATAACATGCTTACTGATCATTGTCTCGTACTATTATCATCATCTTAAGTTATCATAGAGATAATTCAAAACACATATTCCCTCTCTATATCTAGACCCAGCTGTAAAACATTACAAGAAACCGTATGTTTCTAATCTAAGCACGTACCTATCAAAAGTTCTCCTTGCAAGTTTCTCCTGTGTTACAACAATGTGAGGTACAACAATGTAGAAGTACAATCTCTTAATACTCTTAACACTACAACTTTAATCGATTCAGAGACTTTATGCCGATTGGTAGAGCTTTCTGGCAATGGAAATTTAAAAATGTAATTACTATTAAAATACTACTTGATATAAATTATCAGTGTTCTTGTGAAATTCATAATTCTATTGTATATTACACTTTTCTATGAGGTACGGTAATGATAGGGTCCCTTTTGTCTTAGCGTCAATTTATTATAACTTTACTTGGCATATTTCGTGCCTTTCATCTTCATAACTAATAGATAGCTGATTAGTTGTTTACTTTGAATGTTCCAGAGACCTGAGCAACAACAGTCTGAGGGCTCTGCCACCTCTTATGTTCCGCAACCAATGGCGACTCTCAGTATTGGATCTCCATGACAACCTCATTACTTACCTTAGCAATGGGTCATTCTACGGACTCGCTAGCCTTAAAGCATTGTAAGTGTCAATTCGTCAACATTTAGGATGATACACTGATGATGACATAATGATGTATGATTGCAAAATGACATAATATAAGTGAAGATTGTTTGAAATAAAACTAACTAAGGGAGTTACTTATTTGAAAATTTCCCTTACAGGAAAATTACCGTAGTAATCATGGTGACTTGGACCCGGGACCGATTTACTTTTTTTGTTTTGAGGTCCCTAGAGGCCAAAAACACCATCCGTTCGTGTGTGTCCGTTAGCATGATAACTCGAGCATGATCCGGTTTTGATAAAATTTTGTATAAACGTAAAAACCTACATGTATTCGAACTGACGAACCAGGATGATCGGACTATGGGAACTTTGGTTACTAGGAAATTTTATGGGGTAAAATTTGGGTTTTACCATTTTTGAAAAAAAAAAACATAAAATTTATTTTCAAACGATTTTCTAGAGCTTAAAAACAAATAATTTAGTACACTGTAGTATGCACTTAATGGTTACGGATAAAATTTCAAAAAATTTTAAATTTAAAATTGCCATGTTATTCTTATGGAGAATAAGTAAACTGTTGTAGTTTGCTTGTTCATGAACATATTTTGATAATTTTAGGAAAATGATTTTATTTCTAACTTACTATTAACATTTTACAAAAAAAAAAAAATACTTTTACCCTCCCTGTTGCAGCAAACCTAAGTACTCGTTAAACTAATTCTACTTATATAGGGAATAAATGTAAAACCTTTAAGGAGACATTTTAGTATAATCCGATAAGGCAAATGGAAATTCGCTTAGTCTGCAGGTTTGCTATGGTGGGGGTATTTTTTCCATATTAAGGATATTATTTTAGTGTCAGTGTGCAGGTATGATACAAGTAAATCTTATTAAAATGATTTTTTATCATAGTAAAGTAGACGTGATTGATAGGATAATTACGAAGACATTTTGCAATCCACTAGAGAACGTAAACATTAATTTATTAAAAAATTTAAAAGCAATTGTAAATCACAAATTACAATATTGTGATATGTTGAATTAAAACATATTTCAAAATGAAAATGATTAAATCCATCTATCTAACCGTAGTTATTTGGTCACACACAATTTAATTAGTTAGCTATTTGTTGTTTGGTTAAAATTATACATGATTTCCCTTATAAATATCTCTTGTATTGTATTGCATGGAAACATTTCAAACTAAGGCGAAAGGTTATGTTTAATCAACATAATTGGTGTTAATATACGAGTATTAATCTGAAAATATTATCCCTCCAGACATCTACAAGGAAACAAGCTTCAAGCGATTCAGGCCTACGCATTTTATGGCCTTTACTCTATAATATCTCTGTAAGTACCAGATGAGGATTTTGTTCATAGTAGCCTTTAGTATGTTTTAATAAAATTTCAAATTAAAATAGATTTGTTAAAATCTTTTTATCGTTCTACTTTATGAGATTGGGTGATTTGAAAACTTATATTGAGATTGAAGAAGGTTTCAACTTAAAATTGCTGCATATTTTTAGTTTTACTTGAAATCATCTTTGTTCAAATTGCACAAAGATAAATAATATTATCTTAACACGATAGGATTTTTTGAAAGTTATGAATCACGTTGAATTTTAAAACCGTTATAGTGTTTTGTGCTTTACTGAATTTAGTAACACAAATTACTACATACTGTTTATTTGCATCATACTAAGTGCAGAGGCTAGTTTTGTATACAGTAAATGCAATGCCTTCTTATAAATCACACAGTACACTATTTCGTATAATATAAAGGATTTGAATAATAAGTGTTTTTCTAATTGCATATGTTACTTAAGTTAATGTCTCACATCTCCAAGGAACCTACAACAAAGTCGTATTCTCACACATTCTAGGGCGTTCAAGCAATTAATTTAATTCCATGGATATACGTGTAATTATAAAATACAACCACAAAACAGTATGCAGCTTAAACAACACAGGCATTTGTTACTAACTACTGTTTCAAAATATCCAACTCTTCAGTGATATTGTTGACGAGTGTATCATGCAATAAAACGCTGTGTCTTTACGAGTACTTACCGTGCAGCTATTCCAGAGAGGCTATGGCTACGTACAAATGTAAGAGTAGGTGTGTCTATTAAGTGGCAGACAATCAGAACCAGGAGGGTTATAAACCTGTCTGATGTCTAGCTAAGAGTCCACTGGGGTTAGCCATGTCAGGGCACGTTTTTTCCTCTCAACTATTTTCACTGCTTTATGTTTAAATATGTCATAAGAAACTCCTTGAAAACCCATTAGGCAATCAATTGGTCAATTAAAGGACTTTTTATACATTTTATTTCGTCAATGAGATTAAAACCTACATTATAATAAAATATAGATTATTTTTTGGATGTTTACAAAATAGGTTTAGATTCGCATCCCTTACGAGGCTATACAAACAAACGTACCATTAAAACATATAAGAAAATAGTAAATAGGCGTTTAAGTAAGCATAAAAATATAAAATAAAGCCGATTTGTTTTACCATAGTGATCTACAAGGACAAGAGATCCATTCTATTGAACCTGAAGCTTTCATAGGACTACACAGCTTAGCTGGCCTGTAAGTATTTAAATTTATAAGATTATTTTATAAATTTATTTATGTAATACTATTTTATTAAGTTCGCGCAGGATTTCATCTTCTACATTTTTAGTTTATAATGTAACCAAATTAAGACTATGAACTATTGTTCTAGAACTTCATAATTGGGGTATAAATTAGTTAATTCTTGTGCGGAATAGAAATGTTAATGTGTTAGTACATTTAATGATCTAAGGTTTTTTTTTTAGATCATTATGTTTAACAATATAAATTATTTTATACGAAATGTTTCAGAGACCTTTCGCATAACAAGATCACTCTACTTTCCCACGGCACACTGCGAGGAATGCCTTCCCTGCTGTTCCTGTGAGTATGTACGTACTGTCTTTATCTCCCTCCAATCCCTCTATATACCTTTTCCCTACAGGACTTCACTAATGTATTCCTATTTTCAGGAATCTCAGCGAGAACTGGATAAAAGAGATCGAGCCTAATGTTTTCCGGAGCGTTCCACTGCTGGATAAATTGTGAGTTGGTAATATTTGTTGTTTGACTTTGTTTCTGGGGTTTTTCTATAACCACTCACTTTGGCAAATTGATAATCGGGGTAGTTATGTAGTTCCACGGTTCATATTGTCTTATGCACTGACTTTTTCCGTTCTCATAGACTGTGAACCTGTAGTTTCAGTAAGATCTTATTATATCTTATTATTTGATACATGGATCTGATCCCTTATGAGATTAATGTATCGGAAGAATTATCTAAACTAATTCTTAGCTACGTAAATAAAACAAATTATGTTGTGATCATTTGTAAGCCAGCTATTTTCAATTTTAGCATCATACGCATTAATGCCAACATTTTGAGTTCACACATTCTATTTTCTGTATCATATCGTTTTAGTCGAAAATGGTGTTTATAGTTCTAACTAAAAATTACTATGAACTAAACTCAAAAGAAATCTACCAATCAAGCAGGTGGCTCTATGAACCATTACACTTGCATGCTAGAAATGGGACTTCCTGTGAGGAATCTATGTTTGTAGTTATTTTTTTAGCAAGAAAGAACTGTTTTCATTTCATTTTAACAAGGGAGATCTTCTTCAATAGTTATTGCTTAGTAGTTTCAACGGTTTATTGCTTTATTTAGTTTAAGAGGAACTATGTATAATCGTAATTAATTTTTTTTCTTCGCGAATATTATAGGCTACGTATGTTAATAGGTTTCTTGTAGCTTAATCGTTAGGCTCCATCACATTTTTTGTCATTCTAGATATTTCAGACTGGGAGTATCTTAGGCATTGTACCCTGACATGGTACATTTCACCATCAGAGTTTGATTAATCTTCATATCCGGATGCCTCCTGACTCGGGTATCTTGTTTGGTACTGATGAAATTATTGCATTCTTCACAAGTAATCGTTTTCATCCTAACGATATTTAATATACCTCTGATGGCTCGTTACATTGATTGTTTATTAATAATACAGCCTTAGCTCTTATTACTGAAGTAAACGGTCGAATCCTCTTATGTGACTAACTGGTCAACTTTGAGCAGAATGCTTTTGCCAAACTTACTTGAATATTCTTTTGCTATTTAAATGACTGCTTTCTGTTGCATCAAGTTTTTCAGTTAAGTTGAGTGATTGAGAAAACCAGTACAATATTCCATATTTTCCAATTTTGACACTGAAATCATTCTAATAGCTCTAATAATTAAAAGAAACACAATTCTTTTGAAGAAATTAATTTAACTGTAACGTTTTAAAATAAAGGATCTAGAACCGTCTTAACTAAAAAATCTTAATTTAACCAAACAAAAAATAACAATCAAAATACGTTACTAACATAATAAAATAATAAATTAACTAAAATTTATAAATCAATACTACACCTTTCCCTTAACAGATACATCTTTAGGTATCTAGGTCTTATACCCTAAGTTATTTGGTTTGTCTTTCTTTGCCACGGCTTCTTTTAGCTCCCCTCATTCTAATCATTTTACTCATTTCCCTTCTGCTCTTCTCTATTTCATCTCTTTTTTTTTCTCTTTCTGCCCTAATTTTTCTTGCACCTTCTAATCTTTTCATCCTTGTTAGTCTTTTCATAAGTCTTCTCCTTGACATTTAAATTAACCTCCCTCCCCTTTTACTCTTCATCATTCCTTACATTTGATGAATTCTCCCCAGAGTGACGGACGAGTTCCGTTTCTGTTGCCTGGCCCGCAATACCTCCAGCGTGTGTTTGCCGCCTCCAGACGAGTTTAGCTCCTGCGAGGACCTCATGTCCAACCTGGTCCTCCGCCTATGTGTCTGGCTCCTGGCCGGCGTCGCCACCGTCGGCAACGTCCTCGTGATCGTCTGGCGTACCCGGTACTCGCACTGCAACCAGGTATCCGCACCATCGCGCTCCTCCAGACAATCTACTCGCCAGTTGGTACTCGCCCTTGTCTAGCACTGCATGGACAGTCAGAGGCATGCTTGTCGTGTTAAGTCAATTTTGTTGAAATGTCCAAAATAACATTTTACAATTATATGTCTAAAGATTCATACAACGTTTGATTACAGGCATTTATGGACATATCTGTCTTTCTATAGTACAAGCGAGATGAAACTGTGCGTTTACCATGATTCATTGACACAGTTGGAGTAAGCTAGTTTCGGGACGATAGCAACGATCTAGTTACCTTGAAACTCAAACCCACTATCAACTATTTCGTTAGATTCATTGATTTTATATGCAATAAGTAACTCTCACGAATTCAAGATGACAAAATACTATTGCAGGCTTAAACCAAGGCAACGTTTATTTAGTGTTACCTTGCTTAATCCTTTTCCAAATTTACTGAAATTTCTTTAAATTCTTTGATACAATTTCAAAAGCTGTAATAATTACAGGAAATATACCGGTACATACATGCAGGACGATCACCAGTTTTATTTCGTCGTCTTGTGAAGCTAAGCATTAGCGAACTGAACAATTGTGGAGTTTATTTAATAAAACCTATTATATTCTCTAATAGTCATTATTTACTTATTTATTATTTATTTACTCATTGTATATATATACGCGAGATACATTTGTTGAGCGGAGCGAAGCGAAGCTCTTTTGGATCAACTTCAATGCAATCTTTATAACACTTAATCTCAATATCGGCTGAACATATTTCAGCCAAACTTACCAAGGTTGGCCTTTCAAATGTTTGGATGGTTTAGACGTAACCAATTCCAATCTTTGATAATGTTTATTATAATTTTAAAGTAACTCCAATTTTTTACATTTTAACATTGGCCTTATGAGTTGGAGATCATCGATCTCTATTACTAACAATATAGAAATCGATGGTTGCCATGATGGTTACAAAATAACGAAGAAAATGTAAACAAAACAAAGTAATAAAGATCATAGCATATGCTCAAATCAATCCACGACCTAAACACAGTACAAAGGAAACAAAATTGGATGATGACAACTGATCAAATAATACAGAGAAAGTCTTAGGTTTACATTTAAGTCGCAATTTGGAAAGTACCACTGATCGAATAGGTACTGTCATAGATAACACATATTTTCTTAGGTACAGTATTTAACAGATTTGGTTTACGTAACTAAATAAGCTTATGAAAAATAACACTAAACAATTCAAAAAGGTGAATCACATTCATGGGTCCATCTCATAAATGGCAATTAAACTTAAACAGGTCCACGACGTAGTGATGAAGTAAGTCGAGATCTGCGGAGCCTGGGAATGTTCGTGGCAGTTAGATAATTGTATCTAAAATACCAAAATGCTATGGGAAGGGAGGGAAGCAGGTCCACGATGTAGGAAGTGGTGAAAGAAGTAGTAAAGGTCACCAGTGCATTGTGTGGGAACGTTTGTATTTTGTATTATATCTTTAAACATTTTTTCATTTATTGCTTCATTAAAAACCATGTAACTTGATTGCTCCACTCAACGGGTTTTCACTACTATGAAAGCAATCCTAGTTACTTACACTTAGACGGATAAGTGAGTCGGTGGCTCAGGGAGCGATGTCGTGGTTTCGGATCCTGCATTACTTTTCATTAGTACAGTTCACGCTCGTTTGTGTCACTTTTCATTGATTCTACAGTGAATGCTACTGGCTACTGGCTTTGTAGAATTCCTTGCTTAGTAGAATACGTTTCACTCATGAGCCAGAGGCCTATGTGGACGGGTGAATGTTAAGTTAAAACAGTCCGCGAAACTCTGTCACGAGTTAACGATATCTTGGAGCTGCTCGGTTTCATTGTTAACAGATTCAAAGTGATTGTGACCTAAATGATAATGAAACTCTTTAAAACTAGGGTGTGAACAAAGACGGCTAGGTAAAGGCAAACATAGTATGTTAAAGATTTTCCTTACAGGTACTATATTATAACATGGTTTACTTATTTTTCAAATGTTTAACGTTTTGAACGGGTTTTTAGTTAAATCTTTGCAATCCTTTATTTTTTATTTAACACTAGTAACTGGTCAATCCATTTGAATCTTTACAAATACTTGTTTTGCATTGGGTATTTGTCATTTTAGTTACCTACTATTCGGTGCCAACAGAGCAATAATATGGAGGACATCAAAATCATTTCATAATTTTTTTTACTCTAAACTTTTAAGCCTATACTTTTAAGCTAAATCATAAGAAACGTGTAATGTAACCTTCAAAATAATGAAATCTTTTATATCAAAATTGTGAACGGTAGATGTGGGATAAACATCATCTTTTGAAAACATTGCTAACTTCATCTTGAAAGTTTTCACAACTTCGTAGTATTTGAATAATGACAAGGGAATCTTCACTTTGAAAACGTTTAGCTACACATTCAATGAATTCATTCCGTTACACAAACTTTCACGAATAATCTTGTTTGCCAGAAGGAAGTAACTTGGGGTTTAACTGTAATTTTGAGAGTGTCTGGGAGAGGTGTGCCTGCTAAACTCTATACCGTACATTAATTCCCTGAGTAACCTTATTTTTCGGTGGTTATTTATTATAAAAAAAAACTGTAACATTTTCAAGAAAATTTAAACATGACTAACCATTACAAAGTTCCCTATCATTTATTAATGTTTATACATTATTATGTTGGTACACTAAAATTAATGGAATCGAATGGTTTTAATATTGTTTTTGCATTGCCAAATTTAATTTCCATTGTTCAAATAATAATGTTGGAATATTTTTGTGATTTGTGATAATTTGTGATGTGGGGTACCTAAGTTATACAAAACCTATTAACATAGAACCTCATATGATGAGCTCATCATACCAATATTCATGTAATTTCGAAGTCTTCCCAACAGTTCGATGCAGAAAAAAGGCTAATTAAAATTAAGTAGGTATAGGACCTTAAGGTGTAAAACTTTTAAAATATAAGTCCCGTTATTTCTGGAAAATGTTGTCCTTATGTTTACACTTGTAGTACTTTCTAATTCTGTAGATATCCTGGATCCTAGCATACTACAGATTAATATTAAATAAATATATTCTGTTTTCGAATATTGTATGGCTATATATATAAAAAAAAAACATTACAAACTACAATGTGGTTTTTGTTAAACTATAATTGTAAATACGGAAAACATTGTCAACCCATAAAAAAACCAAGATAAATTTTGATAAAATAATCTATTATTTAGATGCAATTTCTAAATTATTACTTCTCACAAAGGAGTTTTTTCATTGGCACAGGTGCACTCGTTCCTCATCACCAACCTAGCCCTGGGGGACCTCATAATGGGCTGCTACCTGCTACTGATAGCTTTGGTAGATTGGTACTACAGGGGAGTCTACTTCATACACGACTCTACTTGGAGGTCCAGCAAACTATGTGCTTTGGCTGGCTTCCTGTCTACATTCTCCAGTGAACTTTCTGTCTTCACTCTAACAGGTCAGTTAGAGCAATCATTTACCATGAGGGATAATTTAGAGAAACGCTAACTAAATTTGTTGACGGCATATTATTTTGTGTAGTATATTACATTATGTAGTATATACCTGAATTGCGACTACTGTAACAATTGTAAGTGGAAAGATCTTTGAAGGCCCCATTGTAACTTTCAAGTGGACATCACGTCACTGAAACATTTTAAGAAAATATATCTGAGTAGTGGATATATACCTGTGTGCTTTGTGTACTAAACTAACTTTCCTTATTTTACTTACATTTGAAATGGTACCTTTGTAATGCGTTTAGCTTGAGACCTCTAATATTAGATTTTTTTCTTATTTTTAGTGCCCTTCTAAAGGTGTTTTTCTGATTTCGGTTAAACTAAAATGGGGGATGCTCTAAGTACACACCATGGGCTAGAGCATCCCCCATTTTTAATGCAAAATGTTAAGTTTTTTTATCAGAAGTTGAGAAATAAGCACTAATATTATCCGTTCCAAATCTAATTTTGTTATTGTTGCAGACACGCTGCACTGACAAAAATGGTCTCCTAAGGTTGGAAAACTAAACTTTAGATGGCCATTTTTCTATGAATTGATTTTGCTGGGATGGAGTAGATCGTAAAATGTACGGAAAGTAAATATAAATACGGCTAATAACGCGTGAAACATATGTTTACAAATTATGCGGTTTTAACAAGATGGCATATACATATAAAAGATGGTAAGTGGTGATCGATTTCGATTTCATATCGTGAAGAGTAAAAACGCGATACAGATAAAAAAGAGCATCATGAAAAATAATAGAGATTGGTTCGATAAAAATGTATTCACTTCTAGCTTCCTATTAAATAAGCAAACGTAACGTACTATTATTGAATGTAAAGAAAATTTACTCAACTATTAATTTCACTAGAAAGTAAGGTTTTATTTGAAATAATTTGTTAACAAGTCTGGTGTTAATTCGTATGCTTGTCTACAGTGAAATTAATCATCTCCCTTGTAATGTCATTATATCAAGCATGTATTCTGAACTTCTAAAGATAATCTTTTCAGCTGGTCAATTCATTATAGATTTGTAAAGTCTGGTTTAAAGACAAGTTTAGATTTAACGAGGAGAAAACTAGATGAAACAGCAGTGAACTTGGTGTCACAAGTGAAACAAATAGACATTCGTGTTAACGATCGTTTGTATGGTAAATAAACACTCGCTCTTTATAGACGATAAAATCTAACGTAAGCCAAGTTGACAAGGTCGGATCTCTTTGTCGGAACAGCTTAGTTCAAATGTTGACAGCTTCAAAGACACTAAAACCACTAAGATAATGAAACTGTTTGAAACCAAAGTGTGTACAAAGCTAAGTTGTGAAGACAGATAATTTGTTCAAGATTGTCTTTATATTAATAGTTAATCAAGCAAGCCAACTTAGAAGCTAAGTAAACCCATTAGGTATGTAAATAGTGTCGACAAAACTCTCAACTTCGACTACGCTTCGTCAGGCACGCAGTCAGATAATCTAATGATACAAATTTACAGAAATCATGTTCCATTGAATGAGACTTAATAAAAGAATTGTCTTTGTAGAGATTAAAGCGGCTTGTGAAAATAATTTTCATTGGCTACTAATCTGCTAAAAATTTAATTAAAAATAGTTTTAAATAGTTTTTAAATACCTTACAGCTAATGAATTTTGAAAGTGGTAGACTCTACTGGCGTAGGGTTATTTTATGCAAACACAACAGTAATTTGTTTACAATATTAAATGTTTGTTAACATGTCATAAAGTATATTAATTTTAGTCACTAAAACCGTAGTTTTTCATATTAACCTTGAAACCTTGAATTAGTGCCTCATTTGATTATATCAACATTGTGGTACACTCGTCTTCAGTTCAGAACCACCTTGGACCATTTACAGAAAATCATAAATGCTCTGATTGTTCTAAAGTATTGCCGGTCAATCATAGTTGTAATCCTGTCACAATAGTCATTCTATACAATTTCTCTGATTGTCTGATTACAAAATTGTTATTCCGTTCCAGTTGTCTCCTTGGACAAATAACGAACGAGGTTTTTTGTAGTTACCTGTTCCATCACAGGATAACTCCTTGACCCTTCTCTGACAATCAAACTCCTGTTATGTTGCACCATTCTAGATTTTCCTCTGATTGAAACCTACTTTTCCGTTGCAGTTATCACCCTCGACCGGTTCCTAGTGATAATTTTCCCGTTCCGTGTGCGACGTCTGGAGATGGCCAGAACTCGGCGGTTGATGGCTCTTGGATGGTCAATGGCAGCTGTGTTGTCAGCCCTACCTCTGTCTCACATTCCTTACTTCCAGTGAGTACCAAACTGTTGATATTCGTTTGTTGGTGTGGGGGGGGGGCTGTAGGGAATACAATATTAAAAAATAAAAATACACTAATGAAGTACATAAGGTTACTTTGTCCTTTCTATTTTTATGAATCATTTATTTAATGTAATTTAAAAGTAAACAATGCATATGTTTTTAAGATAGCCTACTTACTCTAGCCTATGTTTTTAAAATAATATATCTGTCACTACACATTAGTCAACTCCACTTAAGTGTTGTACAAAATTGTTAATGATAGTGCCTTTGGATTTTGGACTAATAAAGTATGAATGAATGAATTAATGAATGAAAACGTCTTTATTGAGCCATCGTTATTCAAAGTGCAGTTCATTGTTTTTCAATACAACTGTTGTCAAAACACTAAACGTAATAGGTCAGCTTATACTAGACATATTGAAAATACATTTTAGATCAACTGGCTAATTATTATTGGCATAAAATACGTCTTTCAAACCCCTTTTAAACCTAGAGAGGTTTACTGATTTGAGGTCAGGTGGTAGGGCATTGTAGGCTTGGGGCCCAAAGTAAGAAAAGGCTTTCTTCCCGAATTTCGTTCTGACCTGGGGCAAGTGTAGCAAGCCTTCCTGCCGAGTGAGGCGAACACTCACCTCAGACCTGAAAACCAGTTTCCTTCTGATGTATTGGGGACACTCGGTTAACAAAGTCTTATGAACAATGAGAACGGTTTGAAGGTCACAGCATTGTTTAACTGTCAAGATGTTTGCCCTTGACCTATACTCGCTGATATGATCCGACCATTTTAAGTTGAAGACAAATCTCAGAGCACTGTTCTGAAGTCTTGTGAGAATATTCTTGAGTAAGGCTGTTACCAAAAGAGAGAAGATCGTAATAAATAGATGGAAGAATTATAGCACAGAACTATTTCAAGTTTGGTTGACATTGGTAGAACAAACCTAAACCTATTAAATAATCGTAATTTGAAAGGGTTTTCTATTCAGGTTTGAACCTTTACTACTGTCTATTGGGTTTAGCTAGGCCTAAGTTATTAGAATATATAAATAGACAAATGACTCCTTAAGGATTCCTCTACAATACAAGTTTATTAATAATGAACTAAGAAATGGGGTATTACAATAAATTGAGGGTTGCCATCTTCGGTTAAGCTTAGTAGAACAGAACAACGAGTTTCTGATCTAAATACAATAATTCAATTACAAATATTCTCCGGGATAGGTATATAATAACATACACCAATTATTTAAATGGAGATAATTAGATGATATTGCACTTAGGCTTGGATAGGTAGCTTAGATAGTCCAACAATGAGTTGAATAGATTTTAAAGGTTAATAAGTCTTGCTCAGTTTTTTTTTTCTGTAATTATTCTTGATATAGTTTTTGAATGAAATTTGTTTTGATCCGATTGAAAATAAAATAGTCTTTGGTAAATTTCTTCAAGTACGCTAGGCCTAATAATCACAAAATTGAGGGTTTTTACCAGGTTTTTTTGCTCTCAGTGGCAAGTTAAGATAAATCTTGATGTGGCGGACAAATTTGAATAAAAAAATGTATAGATAAAGGCTCTTCTATTGATAGTGTTATACTTATATATCACTTTGACTTTTGAAATATTTTATTTAGGGATGATGCCCTCACTGAACAAGCTTTAAGGTGTTTGCGCTGCCATATCTGATAGGGAAGAATAGTATATTTCATTACTAGGACCGAAAGTGGCATTTTCCGTCGTGCGAGGCGAAGCCGAGTATGTGAGAGCTATTTTCACGTACGAGGCGAAGCCGAGGAGGGGAATAATGGAGCAAGTGCCGGATAATAACTTTCGGTACAAGTTATGAACGATACTTTTCATCACGACGCAAAAATACAAGAACACAGAATAGCAGACCTTAGTAATATTGCGACTATTTTATTTCTCAATTAATTTGATTGAACATCAAAATAAAATAAAATCTTCTAAAAGGAAACTTACGTCTATTTTTCATTAATTTTTAAAACCAAAAAATAGGAGAAAATATTCTAAAGTTAGCCTACGTATATTTCTCAATGAATTTTGTTTAAACGTCAAAATAAAAAAATAAAACAATGTTTAAGAATACACACAGCTGATTCAAATCATTAAATAAAACCGTAACAAAACACTAGTTGAGCTAAGTTGAGTTGAACTAATTGAGAGCGAGGGGAAGTAAATTTAGAGCGAGGGAAAATCGGCTGTTCGATTTTCCCTCGCCCTAAATTAGAGCTTGGGAAACGACTACTTTCATTGATGTCAGCTGTTATCGAAAGTAGTTACTTTCGTTAACGAGTGATGAAAAAGGAATTTTAGAATTTCTCACGAGAGGTTCATTAGTTCATTGTTGTAGCCAGCTGTCTTCTTTCTTGGTACAATAACATCACTTTCACTTATATTTAGGCTTTTGGAAAATTATTTAATGTTGGGGTTTAAGAATACATTTTTACTATATTAATAATTTTGGATAAAAGTGTTATTTCAACTATGGACTAAATTACAAAGTTATAGGCTTTTGTTAACATATTTGTTGGATATATACATATTTTAAAATACGATGATGGTTTCTGAGGGGTGATTAAAGGATAATATCATTTATATTTACAATACCTTTACCTTTTGAGGATTTATTATAATAGGATAAATGACAAGTTTTTGTACAATCAAAGAAGGAAAATTATATAACTAAAATGAATGAATGTAATGAATAGGCTATCATTGACATTTTAACATTGCGAATTGTATTTTAATTTTGAATAAGAAGTTCGTCAATCAGATTAAATGTATTATCAGCTTTTTAATAAAAATCACCCAAACGGATAGTTTATAACATCAGATTATCCAAGAGGCTTAGAATACTCTGATAATGTTTCAATGCTGCATTTCCATTTCTCCTTCAGATTGTTTGATAAAAACGAAATAAAAACTTTATTTCAGTATAGTACCTTAAACATTTGCGTGAATGGTGACCTGATTTTCGTTGAAGACTAGATATTATTTATTGCTAAACATTAGCTCATAAAGGTCAAATAATAAAAAAATATAATAATTGTGCTCGTTAACCTCGTTTGTATAGCCTTTCTTGTTTTCATTAAAACTGAAATTTTATGTCTAAGTCTCAGATATATTTATCCAGTGATTTATCTAAAGACAATGAATGCTTGAGGATTCCGCACTTAACACATGTGCTCAGAAACCCTGTAGGATTACATTTAATCCCAGTAAAACCTGAAGATTAAATGTGTTGTTTGCAATTTACGTGCTAAACTACAGTAAGTTTTCTTTTCCATACATTTAATATTTACCAAAATCACATTTATAGTTTTTCATAATTAACTACCTGACCAATATTTTTTACCATCCACAGTTCCAGCAACTTTTACAGCAGGTCAGGAGTGTGTCTCGCTCTACATAAAGAGTGGCTGGGAATACTCCGTGTTCGTGTTTCTGTTCCTCAACCTCGTCTCATTCTCTGTCCTGTTACCTTGAAACCCCAATGTTCCAGCAATTTCTACGGCAGGACAGGAGTGTGTCTTGCTCTACATATTACCCCAGACAATCCAAGTGGCTGGGAATACTTCGTGTTCGTGTTTCTGCTCCTCAACCTCGTCTCTTTCTCTGTCCTGTTACCTTGAAACCCTAATGTTCCAGCAATTTCTACGGCAGGTCAGGAGTGTGTCTTGCTCTACATATTACCCCAGACAATCCAAGTGGCTGGGAATACTTCGTGTTCGTGTTTCTGCTCCTTAACCTCGTCTCTTTCTCTGTCCTGTTACCTTGAAACCCCAATGTTCCAGCAATTTCTACGGCAGGACAGGAGTGTGTCTTGCTCTACATATTACCCCAGACAATCCAAGTGGCTGGGAATACTTCGTGTTCGTGTTTCTGCTCCTTAACCTCGTCTCTTTCTCTGTCCTGTTACCTTGAAACCCCAATGTTCCAGCAATTTCTACGGCAGGACAGGAGTGTGTCTTGCTCTACATATTACCCCAGACAATCCAAGTGGCTGGGAATACTTCGTGTTCGTGTTTCTGCTCCTTAACCCCGTCTCTTTCTCTGTCCTGTTACCTTGAAACCCCAATGTTCCAGCAATTTCTACGGCAGGACAGGAGTGTGTCTTGCTCTACATATTACCCCAGACAATCCAAGTGGCTGAAAATACTCCGTGTTCGTGTTTCTGCTCCTCAACCTCGTCTCTTTCTCTGTCCTGTTACCTTGAAACCCCAATGTTCCAGCAATTTCTACGGCAGGACAGGAGTGTGTCTTGCTCTACATATTACCCCAGACAATCCAAGTGGCTGGGAATACTTCGTGTTCGTGTTTCTGCTCCTCAACCTCGTCTCTTTCTCTGTCCTGTTACCTTGAAACCCCAATGTTCCAGCAATTTCTACGGCAGGACAGGAGTGTGTCTTGCTCTACATATTACCCCAGACAATCCAAGTGGATGGGAATACTCCGTGTTCGTGTTTCTGCTCCTTAACCTCGTCTCTTTCTCTGTCCTGTTACCTTGATACCCCAAAATTCCAGCAATTTCTACGGCAGGACAGGAGTGTGTCTTGCTCGACATATTACCCCAGACAATTCGAGTGGATGGGAATACTCCGTGTTCGTGTTTCTGTTCCTCAACCTCGTCTCTTTCTCTGTCCTGTTACATTGATACCCCAATGTTCCAGCAATTTCTACGGCAGGACAGGAGTGTGTCTTGCTCTACATATTACCCCAGACAATCCAAGTGGATGGGAATACTCCGTGTTCGTGTTTCTGTTCCTCGACCTCGTTTCTTTCGCTGTCCTGTTGCCTTGATACCCCAATGTTCCAGCAACTTCTACGGCAGGTCAGGAGTGTGTCTTGCTCTACATATTACCCCAGACAAGCCGAGTGGATGGGAATACTCCGTGTTCGTGTTTCTGTTCCTCAACCTCGCCTCTTTCTCAGTGATCGCCGTCGGATATCTATGGATGTTTGTCGCAGCCAGGACCACCCAATTGGCCGTGGCAAGGTATGAATCGTTTTAAAATATGAAAATACCATTAACTAAATATTGCCAAGTTATAAAAAAATATGTACAATTAAAATTTCCATGATATTCTTAGGGGGGAAATGTAAACTGTTATAATTTGCTTGATTTTTTATTAATTTTTTTTCAAATTTACAAACTTATTCTTTCAAACTCTTATACTTTTTAGTAATAACACACTTTACCTCCCCTTAAGCAGCATACCTAAGTTATGTACTGAAAATTTTAAACCAGGAATAAATATGAAAATTTTAAGGAAATATTTCAATGAAAAACCTACTATTCAATTGGAAATCGCTTAGTGTGATGGTTTTCTGCAGCGGGGAATCGTTTATTTATTTATTTTTTTTTTTTAGCGAATTTCCCTATAGGGAAGTAGCTATTACCGTAGGTCTCATGGTAAGACCTAAGCCCGGGACCGATTTACTTTTTCATTTTGATGTCCCCAGAGGCCAAAAACACCATTCGTTCAAATTTATATATATATATATATATATATATATATATATATATATATGTGTGTGTGTGTGTGTGTGTGTGTGTGTGTGTGTGTCCATCCGCACGGTAACTTGAGTAATTCTTGTCCGATTTTGATAAAATTTGGTTTGAAGGTGTAAGGCGGGATAAACTTGAATGAGTTCGCGAACCAGCATGATCGGACTATGGGAACGGGGGTTTATGTTGGGTTTTATGGGGTAAAAATGGGTTTTTCCCATTTTTGACCCTAAAAACACAAAATTTCATAATTTCTTTTTGAACCATATTGTAGAGCTTAAAAAAACAAATAATTTAGTATATTGAAGCATTATTATGCGCCTAATTGTTACGGAGAAAATTAAAAAAAAATGTAATTTTTAAATTCCCATGTTATTCTTATGGAGAATAAGTCAACTGTTGTAGTTTGCTTGTTTATGAACATATTTTGATAAAAGTTGGAAAATACATTAATTTCTTACTAAACCACAGTACCTTTATAAATATTCTACATAAAAAAACTTTTTTACCCTCCCTGTTGCAGCAAACCTAAGTACTCATTAAACTAATTCTGTTTAAATAGGGAATAAATGTGATATTTTAAAGGAGACATTTTAGTTTAAATCCAATCAGGCAAATGGAAATTCGCTAAGTCTGCAGGTTTGCTGCGGCGGGGGTATTTTAAATATCACATTCTATGTAAAAAATAGAAACTATCTCAAGCTGGCCTTATTGTGAATCTGAAATATCTTTCATAAACTCGGTATATCCTCAGAAGTTGTATTGCCCTTACTTCAATCATGGCTCAATTTTCTTTTCATTTACTTTCATTTACCATAATACAGGCCCAAATTAGGAAAAAAGCTGAAAAGATACTGAAACCATGTCTCAAAATTTGAGTTTCTCAGGAAAGTTTTATCCTATTGCAGGTTATTAAATAATTCGTAATGATTTAAGAAATAGTTGTAAAAGTGTGTAAAATTTGAAAATGTTTAAAGTACATTTTTCGTTTGCTTAGAGATCGCCGCAGCACAGAGTCGGCGATGGCTTGGAGGATGACGTTGCTAGTGGCCACAGACGCTGCATGTTGGGTCCCCATCATAGGACTAGGCCTAGCCTCTCTAGCAGGGTTCACAATGCCTCCTCAGGTAAACTCTGACCTATTTGGTTTCAAAACAATAATAACTTAAAGTCAATATTAACATATGGTGAAACATGTATTTTGATAAATTCTTTTCAAATAGTGCACCGAGCGCGGTTTATTGCAATATCAAAAGGCTTTAAACATTTTCCACCATACGAAATACAACCATTTAACCTGTTCATTTTGTATGCCTTCTTTGCATTTCCTGAGAGCCCAAAGATGAAGATAATAAACAACATTAGAGCAAAAGGGATCTATAGATTCTGCAGTCGAAGAGTTTTTTTTCATTTTTCCTTTTTTTTTCTTGTCAAAAACATTATTAAAAATTAGTAAATATACTGATGTCCACATACAGGTGATTGTTAAATACACGGCGGTCGATCCCGAAAACATCGACACTGTTCAAGCATCAAATCAGTGCTTCAAAGCTTCAAAGTCTCAACGTTCGACTAGGTGGCGTGTTCAGTGTTCAGCCTTAGTCGTACCTCGATACCACGCATTTTCGCAGTTACTTAAAATTACACTAGTACAAAGTCATCAGTCATGAATACGCACAAGATTTACGGCTTTGTGAAACAATTACGGAACGCTTGGCTACGTATCCGCTGCCCAATACATGCAGTTTCGCTTGTTGACATAACCGTCTTGTGTAGATGAAAATGAGCGTACAATCATTTTCATCTACACAAGACCAAGACGGTTACGTCAACAAGTGAAACTGCATGTATTGGGCAGAGGATAAACAGCTTTGAGGCGCCATGATGTGCATCGATGAAGAAGGCAGCCATCTTCAAAAAGTAATCTGGGTGAGAGACAGTACCTGTTTTGTTGGTGATAACTTTTTATTGGGTATGGGCGTACCAAACTTATAAAAAAAAAATACACTTATGTTAAAATCATTTAAGTTAGTTCAAATCCGATTATTATAATCCACCCAGCATATCTATTATCTATGCTTGTAACACTTATTCCATATTTTGTAACCTTTCAAGGCACAATGCAAGACCTTTCTGTAACCTACTTTGGGTAAAACTTTATCTTGTTTTTTATCTTCTTTTCACTATCCTGTCCGGGATCAAACCAGGTATCTAACTTTTTTTATGAACACTAAACCACTCGGCTTCCATAACAGTACTCCTAGCCCCTTGCTATATATAACAACATCTATCTGCTCGTAGGTGTTTGCCTGGGTTGCTGTGTTTGTTTTGCCTCTCAACGCAGCCATCAACCCCGTCCTGTACACTATATCTACTGCACCTTTCCTCAGCCAGGGGCGTCGAGGTATCTTCCGATCCTGGAAGTCACAGCAAAATTCATCCAACATCCCTACTAGACAGTACAGTAAGTTTTGAACGACGTAACTCTTGTTTTTCTTTCAAAAGAGGATCTAGCCATATAGTTGTGATATAGTGTACGGTAGTCAGGACAAATTAAATAGTTTCACCATAATATTTGTTCTTTATTTTGCCTTGAGCTGGTTACATAATTATAATAAAATATCCAGGCAAGTAACTTAAACTCCAGCAACAACAATGTAGTGGCACCTTCGACTTAAATTTTTTACCCAAGCAAATTGCTCCAATTGTAATTTTTAAAAAAATATCAGAAAATTCTTGTCCAAATATTTAATTTATTTCTTACGAAAATACGTTTTACAACGATTAATATTGCGCGACATCTTAAGACTGACACTGTTGACAGAGGAGACTATTAATTCCGAAGATTAATTTATACCTCATCAATCGTCTTGGGACATGTAGCTGTCACTCCTTGTGATTGACGAATAGTAAAAACATTGCGTTAATCATAGTCTTTTTTAATACGTTTCGTTTTCAACAATTAAAATTTGTCAATGTAACTTAAAGGAAAAGTGCAAATACAAATTTCTTCTTTTAAAAATTTGTTATCACCATAAGTTTATAGAGCAAGGTTCAGCCACTACCACAAGATTTGACAAAAATACGCCTTTTACGCCAAAACAAAAAAAATTACGTCATAACACACTTGCCTTTAATTATACCAATCTAGTTATTATGTTTTAGCGTAATTATTATGCAATGTCATGATGAATTAAGAACAAAAACAATATAACTAGCAAAGATGTTTAAACTATTTACAAGTAGTCCCTCAGAGACCGTAGCTCTATATCCCCACAGCTGGGAGTTCTGTTGACCAAGTAATTTGATAGTTTCAGGGTTTGCTGACAGCCCCAAGTCAGACAACAGCACCTGCTACTCTCTCATCAAGAGAACCTCTGTTAGGTACGTAGAGAGTAATAATTTCATAATTGTAAGACCATTGTGATTTTGTATTTCTTGATCATGAGGGAAATATTTTTACTACAGTATTAAAACTACATTAAATAATAATAACAAATAACTGAAGCTGTATTGTTGCTTACATCTGTATTGTTAAATCGTATTATGTTCTATTGAGTTTTATTCTTTGTCAGTTTGCAATACAGTACTTCAAATATTTTGATTCTTGGGATGCAAAAACAAGAGGTGTTTTATCATACTTGAAAAATGGTCTGAATAAATAAATAAAATGAGAAGTACTGTACTATTGAAATCATCAACTAATCACTAGTAGTTTTTTACTCAACTAGAAAAGTGGGTGAATTAATGCACTTTCTAAGTTATGCACCATACTTAGTTATGTCGTTTACCTACTTTGTGTCGAGTTAGGAAATTGAAATAGCAACATATTTTGGAGCTAGTTTTACTATTTTAATACTCAATAAATAAATCTTCTTAACTTCTCTTTTCTTTTATTTACTTTCCGTAATACTCAATCAAATCTTTACGCTTTAGAGGATAATAATTCAAAAAAGAACAATGCTGTGCTCGATGTTTTTCTATACCAACAGTGACCGAAATTTTAGGTAACAAACGTAAATACAAAAGAAACTCATTTTCTAGTTAATACAGGATATTAACAGCTATACTCAACAATTATTTTTTCATAACCTTTGGATTGATTGAAGGTGGCACCAGAAGGTGGACACGGCGGTGTGTGAGCACGGAGAAGTGATCACGTTGAGTCAGCTGGACTGACCAGGACCTCCAGCTCTTGCACGTAGCAGTCATCTGTACGACTGACGAGGGCAAGGGCCTACATAAACTGCAGCAGTACATGGGACTATTGGGGCTGACGCTTGATCAGGAGACTGTCGATATACGGTATAGGCTGGACTGACCAGGACCTCCAGCTCTTGCACGTAGCAGTCATCTGTACGACTGACGAGGGCAAGGGCCTACATAAACTGCAGCAGTACATGGGACTATTGGGGCTGACGCTTGATCAGGAGACTGTCGATATACGGTATAGGCTGGACTGACCAGGACCTCCAGCTCTTGCACGTAGCAGTCATCTGTACGACTGACGAGGGCAAGGGCCTACATAAACTGCAGCAGTACATGGGACTATTGGGGCTGACGCTTGATCAGGAGACTGTCGATATACGGTATAGGCTGGACTGACCAGGACCTCCAGCTCTTGCACGTAGCAGTCATCTGTACGACTGACGAGGGCAAGGGCCTACATAAACTGCAGCAGTACATGGGACTAATGGGGCTGACGCCTGATCAGGAGACTGTCGATATACGGTATAGGCTGGACTGACCAGGACCTCCAGCTCTTGCACGTAGCAGTCATCTGTACGACTGACGAGGGCAAGGGCCTTCATAAACTGCAGCAGTACATGGGACTAATGGGGCTGACGCCTGATCAGGAGACTGTCGATATACGGTATAGGCTGGACTGACCAGGACCTCCAGCTCTTGCACGTAGCAGTCATCTGTACGACTGACGAGGGCAAGGGCCTACATAAACTGCAGCAGTACATGGGACTAATGGGGCTGACGCCTGATCAGGAGACTGTCGATATACGGTATAGGCTGGACTGACCAGGACCTCCAGCTCTTGCACGTAGCAGTCATCTGTACGACTGACGAGGGCAAGGGCCTACATAAACTGCAGCAGTACATGGGACTAATGGGGCTGACGCCTGATCAGGAGACTGTCGATATACGGTATAGGCTGGACTGACCAGGACCTCCAGCTCTTGCACGTAGCAGTCATCTGTACGACTGACGAGGGTAAGGGCCTACATAAACTGCAGCAGTACATGGGACTATTGGGGCTGACGCCTGATCAGGAGACTGTCGATATACGGTATAGGCTGGACTGACCAGGACCTCCAGCTCTTGCACGTAGCAGTCATCTGTACGACTGACGAGGGCAAGGGCCTACATAAACTGTAGCAGTACATGGGACTATTGGGGATGATGCTTGTTCAGGAGACTGTCGATATACGGTATAGGCTGGATTGTTCGCTGAATTGCAGTAAAAGAATATGTTGGCGTTACTGCTTAATAAGGAAAGTGAATAAACATCATACAGGCTAAGGTATAAAAGTATAGGACATTTTGGCGTAACTGTATTAAGAAAAGGTGCTAATAAATGTATAACAGTACATCTTGCAGGCTGAGGTATAAGAGGAAGTATTTTTTTACGTCATTTCTAGAACAGCAGAACGTCACAAGTACTTAATTCAAGGTCAAGTTAAAAAGAGTTGCATTGAATTACTGCTTGAGCAATAAATCGCTAATACGTCCTGGGAAAGGACTAACCCATTTCCAAGGTTTTGGGACTTGGTACAGATGTAACTGATTTGATCACTACTGTAAATAATAGTCCTTCGAAAGAATCTATAATGCTCAAATGTAAGCATGAGGATATAAAATAGATCCAAACCTATATATGATCAAACAAGATGATTTCACCGTGGGTGGATTATATCTTTGGAGTTCCTCAGTTTTATCATTTGTGTTATCGGAACTGACAGCAAATGCATATGTGTTAATGAAAGTGACTAATGTTTTAAATTATACTATTTCCATTCCATCGGGTGCAAAAATAACGTTATTAGGAAATACGTTAGAAACTAAATTGTCGTTAGAAACGAATTTTTATCGTCGTTATCTATAAAAGTAAAAGTAAACAAAATAAAATTTAAATCAATAATTTATATTCAATTTTTGATTATTTTTTTTAATTCAAATACTCCTTTGAATATAAGCTACAGGGGAAGAGAAACAGAAAGGTACAGTGAAACTTACATGAAAGATATATTATCCAGAGTGTGTGTACTGTTTTTTTTTATAATGTAATAAATTTTTTTCTTCACTATAAGGAGAGAATAATACTCTTCACTGAAAAAATTTATTTTTGATTTAATTGTATATCAAGTTATATAGGTATATATATAAAAAAACTAAAATGAAAATCATTGTATTTTTATTTATTAAAATATTAATCTTCGCATCAAAAGTCATAAAATTTGCTTAACGATTCAGCTCAGTAAAAATACTGATTGTCCTTGATTCAATACAACGTAATTTGTTAAATAATTAAATACAGAAGCCTATATTCAAAAGACTGTGAACATACACTAAAAGTATTTCATAACGCGCTAAAAATAACCTTATGAGAAAACACCTTGAAAAGCTATTTGTCGGTAACAAATATTTATTGTATTTTAACTATTTTACTGTACAATTGACTAAAATTAATAAACGTATTTTTTACCAATGCTTGCTGTTTTTTTTCAAGTTCCACCACAAGTGTATTCGTTTGTTACAGACATCTGTCTTGCCTTTAATTTAAACAACACCTACCGTAACTTGACTGTCCAAAGTCTTAGTAATTTCATTGCATTGTTCACCTCCCTGAAATTCTGTCATGTTGTCTGTCACAATTTCATTTTTACCTCTCCCAGAAACATGTACTAACCATGTAGCTAATTGTTAATAAAACAATCATCCACAGCCCTCTACGTAAATTATAAAACACCCCCACTGGAGAAAGCCTGCAGACTATGCGGATATCCATTTGACTAAATGGGATATTTACACAAAACACCCTTAAAATGACATATTCATTGAATTTTTAAATAAAATTAGGTTTAACCATTACTTAGGGTAGGTTGTACATTTTTGTTGTGAAATTTAAAATTAGAAAAATAATGAAAAATATATCTCAATGAACAAGCAAACAGTTTACTCAATCTCCATAAGAATAACATATAAATTTTAGGTCTTTTGGAATTTTCTCCGCAACTATTTATGCTCTTGCAAAATGTATGTTTTAAGTGTGAATATACAGAGTTAGGCAAAAGTCTGGAACCCCCCAGTTAACTTTTTAACGCGTTGCAGTAGGAAAACCAAACACGGCACATATTTACAACATAACAATAGTTATTTGTGCAACTAGTGAGAAAAGTGAGCAATTGACTCACTCGAGAGAAATCCTTACTCACGAGCTGTAGGCGAGTGAGGAATGGTTTCTCGAGTGAGGCAATTGTACTTTGAACTCGAGTTGCACATTATACTTTTCCTACAGTTACCATAAAACAAATAAATTGGTGAAGAAACATAACCTATTTTTACACAGAAGTGAACTTTTAATACAACATTTAACGTGAAGTGACAAATACAACAGTACAACAGAGATGACCAGCTGATTTACAGCCAGTGCTGCCAACGTATTTCGCGCGCATACGACGTTGCCTTCATGTTACGCGCTCACTATTTCGTGCCTTCACGTTGCAAATCTGGAGTGAGACAAAGTAATTAGAGTGAGACAATGTTAACATTGTCTCACTGATGAGCGAATTGGCCACTTTGCTTTCTCAAATTAGTGAGAGAACATGTACATTGTTAGGTAACTGTAGGAAAATTACACTTTTTCATCAAAGTTACAACTTTGCCCCAGCCCCCAAAATGTGGTATTTTGGGGGCAGCACCAAATTTTCAAATGTAAACACCTATCATGTGACCCCTCTAAATCAAATCAAATCAATCAATCTTTATTCCGAGACAACAATGTACAAAAATCATACAATGCTGTATAGGCTGCGTCAATATGTAAATTATAAAAACATTTCAAAGGTCAAAGCAATTGTCAAAATATTCATCTAAGTCATTAAAACAGTATTTCAATAACAAATTTTTAACAGCTATTTTAAATTTATCTAATGGTAACTCTTGAATATAATATGGTAGATGATTAAATAACTTAATCGAGGAATATTTAAAGCTTTTTTGAGTAATACTATAAGTACAGTAATAATTTCTTAGTTTAGCACAGTTTCTGGTCTTATAACTATGGACATCACAGTGGGAAGACAAAGTGTTTAAGTTCTTTTTACAATACATAAGACAGTGAAAAATATATATACAATTAAGAGGCATGACAGATAAACAACTAAAAATGGGCTTACAATGAGTTTTCGGTGGAACACCAGCAATTAATCTAAGAGCTCTCTTCTGCAACACAAATAAAGATATTACATAACCACAATTAGCCCAAAGAATGGTACCATAGGTACGATGACAGTGTATGTAGCTATAGTAAACAGTAAGCAGAACTTCCATTGAAACAAAGTTTTTTAGTTTTCTTAATATAAACATACCTTTGGATATTTTAACAGCTACAAATTCTATATGTGATTCCCACTTCAAGTTGCTCTGAATTAAGATGCCTAAAAATTTAACAGGTTGTTGATGAGAATCTGTGTTAGCATAAGAAATTTTCAGGTCTTGCGTTTTATTTAAATTTAAAGATAGTTTGTTAACATTACACCAGTCTACCATTGTATTAACAGAGCCAACAGTGATTCCATTCTGCAAGTCCTTATGAGTTTTAAAATTTATACACACATCATCAGCATACATATAACAAGAAACACAATCATTCTGTAAATTATAAGGCATATCATTGACATAAATAATAAATAACAAAGGTCCTTAGATCGACCCTTGTGGAACGCCATGATGAGTCTCCACCAAACCCGACAGAACACCGTCAAAGAACACTGCCTGACTTCTACCACATAGATATGATTCCATCAATGCAACTGCGCTATCACTAAAAACTAAAAATCTTAGTTTTCTAAGTAACAATTGACGTGACACAGTGTCAAAAGCCCTTGAGAGATCAAAGAACTTGGAGCAAACACTCTTTTTCAACTCCATCGCATCCAAAGTATCTTGAATACATTAACACTGCATCTGTGGTTGACCGGCCTTTTAAAGGGTTTATCAAAAGAAATTGAATGGTTTGAATTAATTGGCACCCATTTTAATTATTTAAGATGAGCAAGCAAGATAAAGTCTGGACGCCCTCAGTTAACTTTAAACGGTATCAGCATTCTGCCACAAACTTTCTCTCATAAGATTGTCAATAACCTTTATCATGGGTAAGCGGTGAGAGTAAATATGATATTTTATAGTTAAAAATCACAAAAGTTGCAATAAATTTGGACCGTAATTTTTACAGCAATGGGGTGTTGTTATTTTTTTATTTGTATAATTATAAGGACCATAACATATTAATTTTGATCAAAACCAGCATTTCCCCAAATTTTGTTTTATTGTTTTCTTTAATAGGGAAATAACATAAGTTACAATAACTTTTGAACCATATTTTTTTCGGAAATGGGATTTGTACCACTTTTTCAGAATTTAAAGGACTATAAAATACAATTTTTTTTTATCGTTCTGGCCGTTTTTGAGAAAA